AACTTTGTAGTATAACTTGGAAGTACATACTACACTCAACTCTTATTACAGTGAACACACATAACATTGACACTATTTATGATTTTTCATCCTAACCTATACTCACACAAAACACTAACTACATTGTAGTCTCAAGCCTCAAATAAATCCCACGACAACATTTGTCGTAAATAATAACGTTGTTCACATTGTTGATGATGTCGGCTATAATGAAATTTTACATCATCAAATTAGAATTAAAGTAATCCGTCGATGTACGAGATTGCCCATAAAAAGTAAGGGTAAAGTTGCGATCAAAATTTTCAATCTAGACCTGTATTTCAAATAGAGTCTTATGTTCAACAAACATATCATGAAGTGTATCTTCATACAAATTGTTGATATTAGTCTCAGGCATTGATTGTGATGATGTATGTCTACCTACATAGTTCTTCATAAACTTTGACATTAAACGCAGTTGATCAATAATAGCGGATAGATGCATTTTCTTCTCTAGAAGTAATTGTTCGCGCTCAACATCGGTGAGATCTTCACTATTCAACTTAATTTAAATTCAAACACATGCATGAAAGACGTTCTCAGCGATTCTTGTCAAGCGCACTCCAAGAGCATGAAGATCACAGTACTAGGTCCAACGACTGAAACTAATCACCCTTCGATTCATGCTCTTTATCTTGTTCCTAAAACGGGTCCAAAGTTTAGTCAAAGTGACATTCTGCTCATCAGATACTGGCGTGACCTTCGGTGTGCACATGGAAATCCGTACTCTAGTTCCCACGTTTGACATTCTTCAATGAAGGTTTGAAAATCATCAGCGTTGAGAGCATGTTTAGGAACTTGTGACTTTCGACGTAGAGTATCACATACTTCCTACAATACCTTGCTCAACCTTATGAGGAGACGGACACCAATAAGAAGTATAGCCCGAATGACAATATCCCATAATCCCTGTTGCATCAAGTCCAACACAATCTCCTCCCCTTGCATCAAGTCCAACACAATTTCCTCCCCTTGCTTCCATTCAGGTACTCCATAATGCGTCTTCATGCTTTTTCGCAAGAATCTAATTTCTTCCACAGCCGATTCACCTAGAACTTTGTGTTATGTTTTGGATCAGTTTTCGTGGTGTTCCGAAATGACACACATTGCTGAGATCCGCTGACTCCACCATGCTTGCGCCTCTTCAGCAAAGAATGGCTTGCTATTAGGCTTGCATTGTCCGAGCTAACGGTTGACATTGATCTTGAAGATGATGGTTATGACGGTGATGCTTAAGGTTGAGCAGGGAGTAATTGATCTAGTCATCGTGGGTTATACCACATGAAGACCAAACTTGAAAAGGTATATTATGATGCTATTCATGGCGAGAGGTACATTGTCTTTATGTTTGTCGATGGTACTAAGGTCATTGTTATTAAATTCCCATCGACATAGTTTACCCTTGACCTGGATGAGAACATATTCCTCAGATAGCTTGCTGATGGCGGAAGCCACAAACAGTGATTTTTCGACATAGTTTACCCTTGACCTCGATGAGACGATATTCCTCAGATAGCTTGCTCATAGCGGAAGCCACAAACAGTGATTTTTCGACATAGTTTACCCTTGACCTCGATGAGACGATATTCCTCAGATAGCTTGCTCATAGCGGAAGCCACAAACAGTGATTTTTCGACATAGTTTACCCTTGACCTCGATGAGACGATATTCCTCAGATAGCTTGCTCATAGCGGAAGCCACAAACAGTGATTTTTCAAAGTGATACGAAGGTAATTGGGTACGTGGCGTCTAATTTTCGACTAATTTTCCCCTATTTGGTATTGGGGGCCAAAATAAATAATAATTCGATTTTTCCGCAAGAATTTTGCGATCACCCGGGTCGTCGCCAATAGGTACAATTGCAGAGTAGCAACAGTGTTCAGTTTTCTCACACCTGAACTGAACTCCTTTCCTGAATGGGCTCAAGTCGGGATACAACATAGTTTAGCTTACCTTTAGTATATCGGATATTTCGATTGACTCTAATTTGTCTCCTGTTGCCACAACGCTGCTTTATTCTTGCTTGTCACATCAATCCAGACAATTCAATTAGAATGGAAGGAAAGTATCAACGATTGCAGTAAAGCACATATATCGAACACCAGCACTCATCTGGCACCATTAGGTTTTCACGCGTGATCAGATCTTGAGTCTCTTCGACTCCTAAGAATCTTATTTTATGATTTACAGCTTCGTACCTGGGAAGTTGAATGATGATAGGGCCTGAGGGATGAGAATCCAAAGAAAAGTTGGTAACACCTTTCAGAAGAGCTGGTTTCCTTGAGCTCTCTGCAACAAAGAAGAGAACGGGACAGAAAACGCTGGAACTTTTGTAATACAGAGGGAAAGACTTTAGACCATCTTCAAAAGTGCGTAAGGCCAGCTGACACAATGTAAGCCCTCGGATGAAGTCTGTTGTAACATACTGTTAAATACAATTCATAGTTTATATGAAGGAGCACACTTAGCAACTCATGTTCGGATTCCTCTTCTCGTCTAGCCAATCATGAAGGATCATGGAAACCGCTACAGTATGCTGGGTAGCTCTCGGTTGAGACCTTCTTAGAGATGCTGGGCAGCTCTAGATCGTTGTCAGATGAGAGTGGCTTTACCGACGGAGATTCTTCGGTTTTCCGCCTTTGAATTACTGCATTTCAGAAGAGTATGGATGAAGCATTGAGTTCCAGATGTGGTTTTCCATCAGTTGAAACACCGAGTAGTTTCTCGGCAGCCAGGCTATTGTATCAGATGTTCAAGATATGGTTAAACTGTCACACTCCAAGGCATTCAGATCCGCTGCTTTGAGGCTAGAGTACTGTAGATAAGACAGTAAGTTCATAATTGTGAAGCTACTATTCATCAGAACCAATGTTGCACTCTGCTATCCCTCAGAGTCATGAAACAACTGTCTGCCCACTAGCATGCGAGTTTTGGTCATGAAATCTGTTCTTGTCGCGGTACCTAATACGACCAGCGGGATCGATTCAGCCCTTCTGTTCTGTCTCTCTTCTGTTCTGTCTCCTGTAGATGACCATTCCAAGGAGACGACAAGAACTGACGATATTGGATCATTTGGTTGGCTTCTCGTTTGATAGGGAATCAAAGCTTGAGGAAAAGCAGCAAAAGATTCAAGAGTGGCAGCCAGAGGACCTCAAGTGCAAATAGCTTACCAGTTGATATATAAAGCTAAAATTGTTCAACAAATACAATGTTGATTTGCGGCCAATTGAGAGAGCATGATATCACCAAATTTATTGACAGCAACTCATCAAGATTGAGAATTTTTCACTGTCACGTCTATCACAGCAGACAGAGCCTGTTGTCCTGTCAAGATCTATGAGTCTATACAGTTTTGTCTTTCTCCCATCATTGTGAAGGGCACTTCTATACCTCGGCTCTATTCCCGCCAGGGGTGTCCGCAACTCTACAGGTGATCAGCACATATCTGTCATCGTGCTCCATCATTGAAAAAGAACGACGGGGCATCAAAACGACGCTCGGAGACATTATATTGATGTAGTGTATCTCAACATTCCCTTATCATACCGTACCAAAGTTACAGTTCTCCGTAGTCTGTCAGCACCTAGGTTCCTTCTGGCACCTTGTAAACTCTATGTCCATTCTGCATCATAGTGAGAATAGACTGTCAACTCTGCTACCTCGAAGCTACTAGAGGATAATCTGATGCTGATGTGGAATAAGTATCGACAGATCTGTCGTCGACTTCCCTCTCCTTAGATCTGACATTCTCCAGTCCTCCATCCCTGCTCGATTTGTGTACATCATGGCAGGCGGTGACCGATCCCGGCCGAGGCAGATCGATCAGGACATAACAAACAAAACAAGACATCAGATCAGAGTCCGTCATCATAGAGGAACATTACAGCTGATGCGATGAAAAAGCAGTAGTCAACAATGATGAAGACGCACAGAACAGTGAGAGAAAGGGACCCCATGACCTTCGTCTCAAGGAAGGCAGATGCGACTAAAACGTCAGTGGCTCTAGCATCCGCCTTAATAATCCGACCTTTAGCTCGGGCTCTAGAGTCTTCTCTCCTTCAACCGGCCGTTTGTTACTTTAGAAGGTGAGACTTCCGATTATCGCAGCTCATGAGAAGACAAGTGTGGCTTAAAGCGCATCACAGAGGGGAGAAATTTCGCCTTAGAGCTCGTTCTAAAATAATATATGGAATAATAGAGGCTTGAACCGATGATGCACAACAGCGGCACGTTCTGTCTTGGAGGTCCTCTGCCTAATCATTGAAGATTCCCCCTCATTACTGAACGTCATTGTACTATCATGAGCTAACTGGGCCGGCCATCTGCGGTTGCGGCGAGATTCATCAGGTAGAATGTGATTAATTATTGTGCTTAAGGCACCTTGCCCAAAACACAGTAGACGTTGACATTGTCCACGTCTTATGGAATTTCGGTCTCGGTTTGCTCACGAACATAGAGAACAGCAGGGACAAGCCAATCTGATAAGGCCCTCGTCTGGATGTATATAAATCCGAATGATGATTCGAATTGCTTATGACTAGACTCTGCCTGACTCCACGAATAATTCCATTTGCTAAGCTGCTGATAACGTCATCTGTAAATCTTCTGGCGTCTCCACCCACAGAGGCTGGCCCAGCCTCCTGCACTGGTTGTACCCAGCCGAACAAAATTTTCCAGGTCGAGGGGGCTAGGGGGCTACTGTGAAGAATGCAGGGGATCCTGAAAATTTTTGTGGATTCAGCACTCACTGCGTGCCAAGCTTGCAAACTACGATATGTATAGACATTGGTATTGCTTGGACGTGCCTTCTCAACGTGCAGAGGTATAGTCGAAAGGAGGAAACTCCCTGCAATAGTTGACTTTGGAGTACACGACGGGTCGTGTTCCGTTTGGGTCTCTGAGCGGACTGGTTGCTACTTACTCGCCGTGAGGCCCTCCACTGTGCGATGACAGGATATCATGCAATCGTCGTCTTTTCTAGGTCGTCTAGCGTTTGCATATGCATAACCTGGAGATCTCATCACCATTTACCATTGACCATTATCATCACCGAGTGCATATGCTAAGCTCGGAGGGTCTATATAAGCGATGTGGAAAGGTTAGAAGCTCACCCTTACAATTTCAGAGCCTCGAATATCGAAGGTCCCGTCTCTTGTCCGATCACCAGTAATTACAGCTGAGGCAACAATGGCGAGACATGGATCCGTGGTGATGCCGATGGCTTTTCTCGTTCTTTTGCTGGTAGGCCCAGCTCTTGCACAGAAAGGACCTCCAGTGGAGCTATGGAATACGTTTGTGAGCAACTTGAGTAAACTCGACTTGATTTTGGAGATTTGCTCGAATGCAACAGTCTTCCCCAACTGCCCAACTACGACGATGCTCAAAGTCAGCCCTCTGAGCGTCAACAGAATTGGGCAGGGTTATCCAACAGAGCCCATTGGGCTCAGAATCAAGGACGTCGCCACCGGCAAAATGCTCGTTAGAAAGTTGTGGCCTGGACAGTTGGACCCTTACAAGCAAATCGGATCCATCATCTCCTTCGTGCCAATTCAGGCTGGTTATAAAAAGCAGCTCCAAGTATGGCTCGGAAATGACAAGTTTGGAAGCACCCGCCTCGGCAACATTATCTTCTGTAAGCCCTGAGCACTAAGTCAGCCTTTTGAAGTTTCGCTGATAGCAGCTTTTTGATTTGGCATAGTAGGCCTAATGTAAACGTTGTAGCCTCTCTCTTCCGCTTTTTGCTCGAAACGGCTCCGGCCCTGGAAGACATGGAATAGCGCTATCACCAATCTTTGTCGATGATGGCTTATTGATGATCATCTGTATACTAGACGTACTCCTTCCGTACATTCTAGCGCCAGACCATTTTGGCAGTAGAATGTGGTGAAATGCATTCAAAGGTGAAACTCAATGGTCACAGTGTGGAATTTGCTGACATTTAGCATCGTTACCTTCTCGGAGGACCATTTGCATGTGATGTGGGACGACTGTTGAACTTCATGACATACTCTGCCAGTTGGTGGACATCATGTGATTTGCCCGTCTGAAAAGTTTTAATGTTTTTTCTCTTCGGATGTGCAGAGAAGCTCCTGATCGACCTTCCTGTAGATCCTGTCTGATACATTTCTCTTTCAGCCTAAGTTCTTCGTTCTGACAAGAGAAGTGCAGTGCAGCAGACAGATAAACGATGGATCAATTATCCTGCAGTTGCTCTAAGGAATTAGGATGGAGAATATAGAGGGCTCTTTAATGCATTGAATACGAAGTGACGAAGCAGCTGTATCTTCAGTGGGGTCACTGCGGTCTGATAGACTTTGTATACAGCCAGTGTTTCATCTCCAAAGTGCACGCCAGATTCATATTATGAACTGGGAGGGGTACTTCGCTGCTTACGTCGTGGATTGTCTTGCGCCTCGGAGTTAGAGTAGTTTAGGCTACGGTCCGTTGCTTTGAGTTTGTCGTAAGCGACTAATTGACTCGGTAGATAGGTATAGCAGGCTATCAAAGGTTCGAATTCAGCAGATTGGACAGCTCAAAATGTTCCGATGAAATAAAATGGCTGCAAAGTTGGTCCATCCTGCTTTGACAGCAAGGTCTCTGTCGTGTGAAGCAACATCTGCAGAGTAAAAACAGAGAAATTAAACAACATATGAAAGTATGAGAACTTATGTCTAGCGTCATCCCATCAACGAAAACGATGGAAATTTTTCGTTAGAGTTGGATGTTTTCTTCATATTGTCCGTTCATGTCCCCGGCAGTTTTGGGCTGAACAACTCCCCTTCGAGAACCAACAGATTCCACGAAAATTTTAGAGGACAAAATGTCGATTACTTTGAGCACTATCGACTTCAGACCGTGTGTAAAACCAAGATGACTTCGAGTACGTTTAATGCATCCCGTCAGTTCTGCTTTACCCTATGATAGTAGCTGGACACGATGACCAAGATGAACTCACCTTGGAAAATGGGGATCCGACTTATGAAGAATATAGGATCGGGATCCACGTGGGTAGAAGCGTGGGTAGTAGCGTGGGCGTGCCCTCTGCAGATCAGATAGTAAATCCGGTTGTCGGCACGCCTGGCTGCCCATTGCATGCATCCACCAGAGGTTATGAACCAAAAGGATGTGACTCATTAAATGTGTATGAAAAGTCGAGGGAACCACATTTTACATCACAATTATTTTCTAACGATAATAAGCCTGCATTTGAGTAACCCTCACGATTTCCGAATTCTAACAAGAAGACTAGGAAAAAGACTTGAGTTTTCCATAACAAGAGTGACTGACTTGGCAAGATGCTGTCTTTACGGAGATTTGAATTGAAAATGAGGATGGTGCTTCGAGGTTCATGCCCGCATCTGTCTAACGAGGGGATTATGTCCGCACATGTGCACGCGTGCTCACAGGAAACTCAAAACTGGTGTAAATGTACAAAGGCGGGATTGTAGTCCAAGATATGCTGGAAGTGACTTATCTTGCTCTTTGTGTTTAGTGTTGTAAAATCATTATTTAGGCTTTGGTCCAGTTCTGAGAAGTAGGAAAATCTAAGTTCAAGGAACTTACATATTTGAGTAGACAAAACATGTTGCGTGAGTATGATGGACCACAGGTAACAAATGGAGAACTGCAGGTGATGTCATAACGCAGATTCAACAGATTGAAGAGGTAGCTGCGGACGTCTGGGTTTCTGACGCGTTTTCATTATGCGTCAGAAATCTGAAGCCAAAGCATTGCTGAGCAATTCACAAAGCGTGAGAGAGAACTGCTTCTTTTCACCGTGAACGCGTAACATAAAATCGAGAGAGCAGATCACTTTCAACAGGTGATACCTAACTGCGGTCGAGATGGTTTCCGAAACTTTTTCAATCGTGCGTATTGACGCACGAATATCCTACTTTCGACGTCCTAACTACATCCGAAGGGTCGAGTAATTTAGTCAGCAATTCAAAGCTACCCACGTGTCTCCTTCCTGCAATGTCAACTGGATAGATCAGATGTGACGTACGTAATCTCCGAATGCGAGGATGAGCGTTCGGGTACGTAAACTGCACATCTAAGTGTCAAACTATTACTGGAGACTACCAGGATACGCTTGATTTCTCGAAAGATCACATGAAAGATCACCTTCGAAGTTCCCGTCCCGCAACACATCACAGTAACTGCAGCTCTATGCATCAGTACATAGGAACGCAATTTGCCAGTATTTTAATACTGCAGGCACGTGAGAAAGATGTTATAGGGCATATTTGAGCGAACCTCGATAACTATATCCGCCCGTGACAACATACAGGAAAGCCAAATATTTTTTTTTCGGTAGACTTAGAGATATTGTGTCAACCCCAAGTGAGATCCAGATGACATGCGTGCGTCTAGAAAAGAGCACATTGCGCTGGTCTTCCGAGGCAGCTTATCAGAAGGCTCCGTGAGGCATTCATTCAGTTGTTCGGACAAGTTCGTTACCCCTAAAGCTCTGAAAGGAACCGTGCGGGAGCATTAGCGTGCATGTCCCTGAGAAGCGCATGAGTGCTTGATCCTTGAATTTGGAGGAAAGAAAACATTCTCGAAAGAAGCATTCAATGATGTCTTTGACCTCGTAAATCGGATAGACCAGGTCTTGCTTGCTTGCAAAGAAGACGGGACCTCTTCCATCGTGGTACACTGTCTGCCGAGTCCCATCTTGGAAGGGCAGTATTTACTCAATGCAGAAGGGCAGTATTTACTCAATGCTCTGTCTAGATCGTGGCCTGATAAGGCGCTGTATCCAACTGAATCCCTGCACAATGTAGGTTCAAACCAACCACAAACTGAAGAGATGCTTGTGTCGATCTGGATGCACGTTCAAACTGATTCAAGTGCGGATGATAATGGTAAATGGTAAATAGATCAAGCCCGTGGGACCCAAAGGGTTAAAAGGCTAAAAAACACAATACAAAGAATCCAACTCCAAACAAGGAGAGAACCAAAAGAACCCCCTAACTAGTGTCCAAAGCACTAGAATGGTAACTAATAAGATCTGTAATGTAACAACCTAAATCATAAGGTTCAAGCTCAAGCAAAGAATAAAAATTCTCAACTACAATTTTATGAGCCACTCTAATCTCTACATACCTAGTACAAGTAAGAAATACATACTCTTCATCCTCAACTTTTCTTCCATCACATAGCCTACAAATACGTTCACTCCTATCAATGTTCAACCAACGTCCTTCTTCAATCCCAAGACTATGAGATCCAGTTCTATGTCTAGCAATAATATGACGTAAAAAAGTAGATATCTCTGCAAGTAAATATCCTTGCTCACAATAAACAAGCATAGGATTCACATGAAGTTGATAAAACTGCATCTTGGTGCCTCGTGTGCTCCACATAATGCTGAGAAATTCCTCCTTAATATGCTCGCGTAGGGCAATAGGTTGCAAATTCCAATCGAGTTCCGTCACATTTCACCTCAAAGACCAAGTCACCACATCTGCAAACCAACCCTTGGGAAGTGTGGCACGCAAAGCTTCAAGAGGAAGTCGAGAAGCATCACGAGATCTCACTCTTTTGACGTAAGTGATAGTCAAAAAGAGAGCTTCAGCCTCAAGAGGTAGACAACCTGTTTCCGCAAGAAGAATTGCATAAGAAGTTTGGGTCCTCACACTCAATTCTTCTTGTAAGAAGATCTTTTGCACCCTCTCCAAACGCTGTCAACCTGTCTTCTTACAACCAGGATCCCACACTTGTGTTCCATATAAGATAACGGGAAACATTAAGCTCCTGAATAAGAATTTCCTAAGACTCCAAGACACTAGATGAGCTCCTCTACATCTATTTAGCAATGAATATAGAGCTTTGAAACCAGCTTCTACCCTCTTTTGCACACAAAGTGCCCAACTATAATCAGATGAGAAATCAATGCCCAAATATTTGTAACTTTTCACTTGTTCCAACTCTAATCCTTTGTAACAGATAGAGAGCTTGGATCTAGTGCCCACAAGAATGACTTTGGACTTCTCCAAATTGACTTCCATCTGATTTTGAGTACAAAAGCTAGCCAAAATGTCAAGGTGTTTTTGTAAACTAGTGGCATCACGTGCTAGTAATATGACATCATCTGCATACAAAAGAGCTTTGATGACAAAGCCTGAAAGTTTAACACCTTCGCTATCACAATCCTCCAACCACCTTTCTATATCATCTATGAAAACTCCAAAGAGAGTGGGAGAGAGAGTACAACCTTGAATGACTCCAATGGTGCTGATAATATCTTTGGTTTGAGAAGTGTTGATCTTGGCCCGAACTGAGTGGTATAATGCAGCCACCGCTGCTAAGAGATCTGATGGTACTCCAATGGTTTGCAATCTTTGCCATAAAAGCTCACGCGGTACTGTGTCAAAAGCTTTCTTGAAATCAATGAAGGCACAAAACAAAGCTTTTCCATTACCCTTGGATTTCTCCCATAGAACACGTAAAATCAAGATATGGTCTATAGTGTTGAATGTAGGACAAAAACCAGCTTGGAACTAAGCTCTCCTCTGACAAGATTCAGCCCATGTGCTCAACTTTGACTCCACCAATTTGCCAAATAACTTGGCAAAAATACTACCCACCATGATAGTGCGATAGTTTGTCACCAAGGCCTTGCTCCCAGATTTGTGAATAGGAACAATCTTACGTAGAGACCAAGATGAAGGAAAGCCATGAATAGCAGCATCCTCTAACACTTTCGTGAATATAGGCCCAATAGCATCTCCTCCTCACTTGAGAAGTTCAATGGAAAGCCCATCCAAATCCTCACATTTACCATTTGCCAATTGTCTGAGTTGAGTCATCACTTCAACTTCTGAAAATAAACTGGATTTCCTTCACAATGTGGCATAGATGCAACATTAGATTAATTTAAAGATGGGCGAGCCATCATTAAATTTTCGACTATACCGAATCAATCTTCTTCGCGAGCCTCAGTCTCTTTCTGACCATCGCATTCACTATGAGTGTGCAGATCTGTAGTCTGCCCCGAAAGAGGAGAGTAACCACTCACAACAACGTGAATTAATAAGTAACATTGTGAAATCGGTCGGATTGCTGAAGTGGTCAACTTTGGATGGATGAGGCTTGCGGCTCATGGTCGAATTTGCACATTCTGCCGGACTGAGTTTCGTACCAACTTCTTTCCACGTTTTTCTGCGAAAGTTTTGTCCTGCTTCAAGTGTGTTGATCTTGATATCTTCACTGTGCATCCTGCTGCATGCACGAGAACAGCAATGGAAAACAGCCATTCCGTAAGCAGAGATCATTAGGCATTAGCTCGCTATAGAGATTCGATGGTTGTAGATCAAGAGAGACAAGTATAGGGCATGATCTTCAAAGCCACGCGTTACAAAAAATCTCGATAGGAACTGCATTTTAGGAACTCGAACTTCTTGATCATCAAAACCTTGTCGAATCTCTCACTACATTATTGCCTCCGGCATTATGGGACTTTCCCACCCTTTTGCAATATCATTTGGCCCAGTAAAACTATTACCCCCGTCCGCCAACCCCCTTCTTTTTTGTAGCACAAACTATGGCTACGAGGTCAACGCAAACTACAGGATCCTGCAGTGCAATTCAGGCGTGGAGGATCTCCCTTGCTTTATCCACAAATCTTTCCAGGTTGGGACGTCACGGGAGTGAATGGCACAGCGAAGAGTAGACTCGTGACCTACTCTTTTGTTTTGCTTTGCACACATCATGGTGTTGTAATTTGCAATAAGAAAACACAAGTGTATTCGATTTCAACATGAATAAATAAAACGAATGCTAACTATCAATGATTTAGAAATCAGAGAAATCAGAAAAAGTAATTTCTTCTGATTTTCGTTATTAGAGATATGAAGAGCTTTTACATTCCGTATCTCTAACTTCAAGAGTGATGTATGACATTAATAAATAGGTGAAATTGCATGTAAAATAAGAGTAATACCTAGACATGTCAAATATATAAAACATGTAGATGACATTGCTCCATGCTCTGGATGCAGTACTGGATGGTTCCTCTCATGAGAAAACGGCAAGCGGTCACATTAGATGATGCTCCTTGAATTTCGTTGTACAGTGATGTACCTAAATATAACAGGTGTAGTTATATTCTATTCCCATTGTGATGTTATTGGGCCCAGGTAATCTTACTCCTTTGGTTTCATCTATGTATGGTTTGACGGGGTCCTCCTAACTTTACTGCTATGTATTTGTTACTCATGTCCAGCCATTCTGGGGTTCGGATCGCCACTTCTGATGGTGACGTCACTCTTGGCTTTCATTGCTGCTTTGTCGGTAGGTGCAAGGTGGAGGCACAAGCATCAGCATAATCATCAGATCTAGAAGACAGAATGTCTGAACATCATATTAATGGGCGAGGGGGTCTCTTAAGCAATACCGCGAATTGTGAGACAGTTCTTCCCGTGTTCCTCGTATTCTTTGAGCAGTTCCCGACCAGTCTCAGGAGGCGGTCAGGTGGCTCGAAAATATCAGCACATGATCTCCGTAGTGGGCTCATCGATCAAACCTTGGTAGGCTTCGTGCCACTAAAGCATTTTCTACAATGAAACAATATCAAGTCTTTACTCGTGGTCTGATCATTTAAAGTAGTTCTTCGAAGTAGTGTGAGGAAAAAAGAGATGTACGAGTCGGATTACCTTCCGATTTTACAGCCGATTATAAAGGACATGGTTATATCTACCAACCAAGTTGACACGACAATCCGTTACCATCTTTGAACCAGATTTGCAGAAATGATGTTCCGTTCGATTCTGTTGCTAGCATGTTCCCGTTTGAATGTTCAGAGACGGAATCTTCAAAGATGTGCTTTTCTTACCTGGTCTTGAAACTGAAGAACTCGACCGCTTGTAAGTCGGATTGCGTAGAGCAACCTTACTGCCTCACCTCTGTAAGTCAAAACCCGCGTAAGATGATGACCAGGCTTTTCTATGAGAATAAGGGTCACATCATCGACAATGGCGACAAGCTCAGAGATAATCCAATATTTGCAGAGATGATCGAAGATGGCGACAAGCTCTGGTTGTAGGGTGGCTGAGTACCAAACAAGCAGGAAATAATGCTGTAAGTGTAGGAATGTGATGATTTTAGTGTTCCAGATTGGGTTTCTGGATGGAAACTCTTTTCCACAGGGCTGCGACCGATTGAATGTTGTTTTAGTGCCATAATTGGTTTCCTGCTCACATCATGTTGGTCGAGACCACGCTTCAAGTTTGGAGTCTCGGAAAAGTAGCAGAGACTGTCCTACGCCATGATTCGCCAGTCGAATTTACAGTAGTATCGTCAGAACTGCGGCAGGAAGCTGCAGGAACCAGGTCCGGTTGATGCTTCGTGGAGTTTCCTTTTCTTATTATTTCACCATGAAGACAGTCTCCAGTGCAATGTATTTGTGCGAAACGGCGAACAAACTTTCCCAGACAAGAGTTAGTTGTATTTCGATCTGCAAGTGCATTTCTTTCTCAAAAGTTTCTTCTTCAATTTATTTTCCATTCTAGGTTGACCTGGAATTTATGTTTTTTAAATAGCCCCGCTTTCGTAAACACGGGACCCGACCACGAGGGTTCTGCTCGAACAGGAGGTAGTAGCAAAGTCAAAGACTCCAGCTGGTTCCCTCTACCCGGACTCAGTCCTCGCCATAAAGTGCTTGTGATATGATGATTTATCAGCCAAAAGATTTCGGTTTTGATAGTTTATGTGGGACCTATTGCCATTCGAAGCCGAGTTTTTGTTTGGTAATAAATTTGAACCCCCTACATAGCTAAATGCGAGCTAGTAATCAGAGGACTTGATAAGATGATGGCCACTAGATTGATGCAATCTAGAGATTGATGCAGATACTGTACAGAAAGTTCTCATTCAAACACATAAGGCCGTAGTGGAACCGAAGCGCTATGCTGCTGAGAATTGATCTCTTCAAATGTGTGGCCTCCGAGTGCAGCTTATACTGACCTTCCTCACAAGGGACTAGATTATTTCCGACAATGATCGAGACAGTGAACACATAATCCTCGCAATTCCATAGAAGATCTCGAATTCGTGTATGCGTATGCATAAGTGCCTTCTGTGACCATGAAGGACCTGTAACGGACTGTACAATGTCCAGCTATCAGATGGATCATGATCCTCTCAACTTTGGACCACCTTGCCGTGGCCCTCTAACCTCTAGTCAACGCCAAACACTTGGTAGAAGAAGCTTTGTCCCAGTACTTTCAGTGGCCTAAACCAGGTTCCCGGAAGATGTGTCTTCTCAGCCGTTTCCTGCGTCTTTCGTTGCTCCTCGATTGAAATCACTTTGTCATGATGAACGGACATATTTATCTAGATCATGCATGGATCTTGAGCTTGGTGGTGAAAATGCTCGAAAAGAGTGACGCTTGGAATTCATACCACTCGCGGAGGAAAGAGAAAGTACAGTTGCGACAACGTGGAGATTTATGTCAACGTCTGTTCGTTTACAATAATGACAGAAGTAATGAGAGGTTGACCTGAGCAGGTAGAGAGCCGCACTGTAGGACTTCCAGCGGGGAAGTTGACTTGTGCTTCTTGCGACGTACGAGCTTCACGTGCACAAAGAGATGGGATAAGTGATGGCGCTGATTAGTCATTTTCCATCCGCCGCGGCCAACTGTGCAGGACGAGATTGTCTTCTGCTAAAAAGCGAGTGAAATTGAGAGATTGGAGAAGACGACACAGAGAGGAGCAAATTGGGTATAAGGTGGTCCCATGAGTCCGCAAAATATCCATCATTCAGATTGGAAGTTGTGGGTTCCGATTGTGCTGAAAGTCACAGCTCTGCCGATCTTGTTTTTATCACCTGCTCGCTCCCACTGTTTGAAGCTGTGTAGGGACTCTGCTAGTGACAGTGTGCTGGCCTGCGCTCTTGAATTGCTTCATCCAGGCATCGAGGAACGGCTCAACTCTATCTCAGCTTTTCTTATTGCCAGGTAGACGGCTGCTCAGTAGTCGGAACGTGTTGCGATCGGGCAGTCTCTTTCTTTGCCAAAGGATTCCGAATCCTGCAGAAACCTTTGGCCCATCATACTCTCTCATACTTAGACATGGTATTATGATTTCGCAACATTCATCATCAAACTCTTCTACCACGGTTTATCGAACCAAGACACAGAAATAGGAAATCTGTTATCTACTTGCCCAAAACTATATTGCGTTCCTTACCTTTGCCGTATCAGGATATTGAGACAATGAGAATGTTTATTACAGATTTGAGGTGATGAATTGAATAATGTCGCTGACGTGAATTTGGTAGGTGATTCGGTGAATCTTCATGACTGTTATAAAGGAATGTGCTTGAGTTTGTTTTATGTCGACAGCAGAGTTTTTGACAGAGTGATGCCTAGTTCAAGAGATGATAGCTCTTATTAATTTACCTGTGCAAATCTTTAGCCAGGCTTGTCGCACTAGTGGCTCATAGATTAGTTCGGTGAAATGCCGATGCATTGAGCGTCCTACAGGCCTGGCAGAGAAAGGTGCTAATATGTCTATTCTGTGCGCAGGATGTAGAGCAATCAAGTCAAGAGCTTCCACTACAGCAAATAGAAAACTATCCGATTTCTGCGATCTAGAGGCGGCTGTAGTTGTAACTCGACATGCAGAACCTCAGAGGTGCTCAGTGGGCCATCATTTTGCTCGTCTGTTTGCTGGTGCCAAGGTTGAGCTACGCCAAATCTGCAATGTCCAAGATAAAGAAGCCGTGCTTGAGTTTATAGATCAGTTTGACGATCCAGACGGAGTTTTTTCACGTTGGGTCAGTGCAGCGAACTGCTGTGAGTGGATTGGCATCACCTGCGACGTCAACACCGGACGCGTTGTGCAGGTGGAATTTTTGGCGCCTCCTCGTGAAGGAGAGAGCACCAACCCCAAGCGCAAACAGACAGTTCCAGCAGGGCAAGCAGGAGTTCCGTTGGCCCGTATCTTAACCCTCACCCATCTCAAGCTCGCCGACATTCTGTTCGACGGTCCCATCCCTTCTCAATGGTCCAGTCTCACCAATCTCATGACCCTCACAGTGCAACAGTGCAACATTCAAGGGCCATTGCCTAAAGAGCTGGGAAGACTCTCCAAGTTGACGAGTTTGCAAACAATCCTCAACTCCATATCTGGCCATCTACCGAGCGAGTTCTGCAATCTCACCAACCTTGAATCTCTGAATCTGGAAAATAATCAACTCGACGGTTTTCTTCCTTCATGTATGGTAACTTCGTGGCAGAAGATCCAGTCGTTATATCTGGCTTCCAACAAGTTCACAGGACAGCTCTTCTCCAACATCGGTGATCTTACAGCACTAACGGAGCTGAGCCTGAGGGGAAACAATTTTTACGGGACCATTCCGAAGTCTGTCGGCCAACTTTCGAATTTGATAAATCTAGACCTCAGTAATAACAAGTTCAAAGGAGGCATTCCTGACACCATGAAATCGTTACAACGCCTGCAAGATCTCGATTTCAATGGAAATTACTTCAAAGGTCGTGTCCCAGACTTCCTCTGGCAGCTCAACTCGCTTCTATCTTTGGATCTGAGCGACAACTACTTTAGTGGACCAATTCCATCTTCGCTAGGCAGAGCTCCAGTTCTTAGCAGGGTGAAGTTGGGCAAGAACTATCTCTACGGCCCGATTCCCGGGAGTCTGGGAAATCTCAAGGGGCCAGGGATTCTCAATTTCTCTTCCAACTATCTCAGCGGACTGATTCCTGCAGCCATTGGCAATTTCTCGACGGGATCCATCGACTTCTCTAACAACTATTTGACAGGTGATTTCCCCCTCTCGCTCGCTGCACTTACCAGTGTTGACCTCTCGTACAACAAGCTCACTTCCAGCTCCAGTGGTAGCATGCCAGCAGAGGGGAGTGAGAATCTGCTCTTCCTGAGGTTGAGATCCGCTTCTCTCCAGGGCCCTGTACCTTCGTGGCTGACAGGCCTGAATAAGCTTCTGACTCTGGACATTTCCGACAACAAGCTCACCGGTCCCATTCCAGACAAGCTGTTGGAGTTGGCCATCGAGCTGAACTTTTCCAATAATCCTCTCAACGCTTTGTTACCTCCTGCGCTTCAGGGAGTGGACTCGCCACTGCAGGTCTTGGATCTTCACAACTGTGCGCTGTATGGGCCCATCACCTCGAGCTTTTTCACAACTTTCAGAACTGCTTTCATCCTTGACTTGTCCTTCAATAAGCTCTCCGGCCCTCTGCCTTCGAACATAGGCAGCGTCTTAAACCCCGGCATCAACTACCTAGATCTTTCAGACAATCAGCTTAACGGCACCGTTCCGGGAGAGCTACAAGGGAATGGCTACGAATTCCTCCAGTTTCTTGACCTTTCCAATAATCAATTCACAGGAAATGTTCCTACAAGACCTTGAGTGAAGGATTTCAGCGATGATTCGGAGCCTCTACTTTATTCCATCCCTGGCTATGGAGTGGCTGGAGAGAAGCACTCATGGTGATTCTACCACTCCAAGTACCCTCCTTTCCCGTGGGACTTGGATTGGTATGGACCTTCCACATTCTCTTGACCAGTTTTTGCTAGATATAGATAATCCCAAGTGAAATAAAGGTGGTTTTTTACAGACAACAAAATGTACAATGTCCATCTCTCTTTCAATATCATGTATTTTACTCTTACCGACAAAAGGCATAAAACTGAACAAGCTCCGATTTGGTGATGATGATCACCCAAACGGTTATTTCTTTGACGCACAGAACGAGAGACTTGTTTCCGAGTACTAATGAGCTGGTCTGGTAATGTTCTCATAAACTTTTCGAAACGGCGTGAAACGTTTTCTTTGCTTTGATCATCTTTAGGCATTGGAACGAGGAAATAGGACTTAAGGGTTAAGAGTTTTGAAGGAGCCATGCCGCACGAATTTGACGTGAACAAATTTTTATCTTTAACTCAAGTTCACTACACATAGGCATCAAAATATGTATCCCGTGATAACTGCTTTATAATCGTACAAAGGTGGAAACTTTAGTGGATCGAAAAGTCTTGGAATAAAATGAAAGGGCAATGACGCTATGTACTTTGACAGGATTATTCAGTTGAGAAGTGCACTGCAGTTCACGGTGTTTGGCGTGACACTAAGCACTGGAGGCTAAAATGCAGGACACCACACATCGCCAAAGAGTACCATAAACAGGCAGCCACGTCTGTCGTCGTAGCTTCACGAAAGCTTGTCTAGTTAAAAACACGTACCTCTTCTTTCTAATTGCAGAAGTCACGGCGTTTAACTCTGGAAGAAAGATGGAAGACTCTGCTCTGAGCTCATATATCGTTCGTTTCTGTGAGAATAGTGACTGGTGTATGTGAGTGGGCAGGATCAGTTCCAGTGGAGATTCTGATTCGATTTTCAGAATCTGAACGTTTTAGAACTCAAGAACATGATTTCTTCTACAGGTTGCACGTGATTCCTCCAAGCCGACGACGTAAAGGTATGAGAAATCGATCCATGCAACTCCTCAGCTGACTCTTGCGACGAGTTGAGTGGTCACCACTCGAAGGTATGGTCTGATAGCAGGTTTCAAATGGGCCAATGGGCAACGGGTACGACTCTAAGCCACTGATAATTCGTCCAAATCTGCTATCAGGCGTCATAAGCACGAGTGAATGAAGGAGCCAGGGAAGAGGCAGTGCATGAAAATGGCAGAAGCAGGCCTCCTGCTCCTGTCCTAATCATGCGCTGCCGCACCCCAGCTCTCTGACCCTCTCGTGTCACTCGTGATTCAATCCAGGGATAAGATCCATCGAACCACCGTATCGAAATGTGCGGCTTTAACAGTCAGTCTTCAACGCCAGAAAGGTCCAGTGATGACAATCGCACTTGATGTTCATCTCTGGTGGAAGTTGGAAGGAGGAGTGACAGCCGGACTTTCGAAAATGTGTCTCCAAAATCTCCCGTCTCTGTTCGCAATTCATATCTATCATGGCCGAAACACTGATAACTGTCCTTCCACAAATACAACTCCAGGCCGTGAATCGTAGAGCGAGATTAATATAGAGGTGATCAGTGAAACAAGCTATGAAAGTGCACCAATAGCAGTATCCCTGTCAACAATAGTGCGAAGTACCGAATAATTTCAATGACCTGTGGTGAGTATTTAGTCGGAACCAGAAATTCTAGTGAAGCTGGGACAAGTTCAAAAACTGGATTCAGCGGGAACAAGAGAAGTGGCATTCGATGAGTCATCAACACAAGGATGGATATAGGTTAGAGCTCTACGATGGAATTTGTCAAAAAAAATCTCATTGCTACGACGGAAGTTCGAGGTAAAAGAATTACGAATTGAACCTGCTCTCGAGCAAGTGATGGAGGGCAGCAAGCAAACGTGGCGTTTCCGTTCAGATTGTAATAACAATCTAAATATGAAAATGTAGACCAGAGTCAAGGGCGGTAGAATTTTGGACGGAGGGATTTGACTCCGATGTCTATTCCGCTCGTTATCTACTCGAGTCTTACAGTTCGAGAGGAACGAGGAGCTATGGACCGCCGAGGGATTCAATTAACTAGAATAAAGAGGACCTTACTGAGATGCTTAATGCTGATAGACTCAGCCCATCGCAGCGACTCAACAGACTGCTCACATTTGCTTGGAGGTCCAGCCAACCTACAACGACGAATGTGTCCAGCCGATTGTAGATACGGTTAGCTGTTTGCTCCTCATATTATCCTCCTGAATCGCATACAGATTCTATGAGACTCTTATTCCCTCTATGGATAGAGTTAAAGGATGGACTCCTGTGCAGACATTTTGGAGAAATCCAAAATGAGAACTTCTTACAAATAACTCAGCTCCACCTGACCAAATGAGTAAGAGTAAGTTGTAAACTACTTTGAGATCAATTCTTGTAGATGTCTGCGAATGGAATAGAAAATCGACAAGAAACTGAAGCGTCTGTACGAAAGAGATTTGCTCTTTCCTGCGCCATTCGGAACGTTTGTAGCTTCAAAAAGTTGAGAGATCTGACATAAAATTGCCTCCACTCTACTGACCTTGCAGCAGTCAATGTCAATCTTCGCTTAGGTGTACGAACTAGGCATCACTTTCAAACACAAGAAATACGTGTTACCTTCATGTCCAAGCCAGGAGACAGAAACAAAGATCGACTGTCAGATCGGAATGGGCTCCGGGACTAAATGAGAATGTCATTTCTAGACCAACGCTTGAATTTCGTTTCAACTCTCGCTCGAGCGGAGGAGGAAATATGGAGAGGGCACAAGGAGGCTCGCAAGCGGAAACGTCGAAGGGGCGGGAAAGACATTGCAGTAATCTTTCCCTTCGCTCAGCTTGGTCGTCCTCCTCCGACTACTGTCTTTCCTCGCAGGCACAAGAGACTACTTAAACACCCTTCCGATCCGACCATGGCAACGCCGGAGGATCTTGTACTGCACATGTACAGAAGGCAGTGCACATCGGAAGTGCATAGCGCTGTACAATATCAAGAACTCCTTTGTTTTTTCCCTGCACTCAGACCGGCCGGGCACCACTTCACCTAACCTCGCCTCATCACACAGAACGAGCGACGTTCCGACCCCGAGTTAGGACGTTCCACCCGCTCGATCGTGAGGCCCGATTCAAATCCAACCTGCGGCTCGTGCCGCCGGAGTACTGTCATAGTACTCCGGCGAGTACATTGACGAGCACGGACGCGAAGCTGGCCTTTCTGGAGCTCGAGGTCTGAACTCCTTATCTGTTCCTTTCCTACCGAGATCTCTGATTCTGTCAACTACATCAATCATGGCCCGTGCGTGGGTGAAGTATAGGTTTCCGAAGGATTCGAGTTCACTTTTTGCCACGCCCATGAGCAACCAGTAGCGGCTGCTAGTTCTGGTACTGACCATTTCAGCCACTTACCAGACACGCAGGTGGTTGGAACAAGTGCATCCATCTATCAATTGTAGGCCAGGGAGAAGCACATGACTTGGAGTCACGGAATCGTAGCATCAGGATGCTGGACCCGTAATCCAGATGCTTTTTCCACATTTCTCCTGATTACTTTTCTTCCAGAAGTTTTATATTTTTTGCGTACGTTCTTGTGTCCGAGTTCGTTCGAAACGTATGACGATGATTCCAAGGTCTTCGGAACTTGACTGCGGAGAGGTGGGTTCTGTAGCAAGCATACCGACCGCATGACGAATGCATCAGGTGAAGTTATAATTTTGATTCGTTCCAACCAAGAGCATGCAGATGCTGAACATTATGAAGAGTCGGTCAAGTGAGAACTTGTCTATGTGATGATGCATGCAGAGGTGGATTTCACTCTACCGACTTTAAGAAAGCTTGAAAGATGCGGGGTGCTCAATGATCTCCATAAGAAACGGCCCAACAAATGATAATTGTCATGAGAGCGATGACTCTCTTGAACTTTGAATTTTTGTGAAATATATTTGTCCACTTAACCGACAAGAAAAACACCTGCTTCAGAGTTATTGTTCGTGTTAATGTACTAGAATTTTGGTTTCTTATAGATGGAGTACTCTCGATCCAGCCCGTGCGGTTTGTGGAGAGAATTAATACTTTATGAAACTGCATCGTAAAATGTATCCTGCTGTGATATATCCTCGGCATCATCAATTTTCATTGGCTTCTCGCTGTTTGAGGAGAAGTAATCCAGAGACTATTGAAATCCAGAGAGACATCCATGAACCATAGTGCATAATCTGATCGTATCTTGTTCTTGCCCACAGCGTGTATTAGCAAATTATGGAAGATTGTCTATCAGAACAGAAGATTCGATTACCACCTTCAGTATGTAGCCAAACTTTGTATAATTGATTTTTGTTGTCAGATCGAATGGACGCTATCACTATGGGCAGTAACGTCAGTTGTGATTATGATCGGAAAGAGATAGGAAGAGCTGAATTTGATGGGAGAACTCAATAAGTAAAATCACCTATCTAAATCATCTATGTAAATAATCTATCTGTTTGTTGTCATCAGTCATGAAGCAGAGCATATATGAATATTGAGCACCTCTTCTTTTGTTTATCATCGCAAGGTTTGAAAATTACTTCCCCTCGAACAGTAACAGGAGAAGTAGTCCAGAGACTCAGAGAACTTACTAAGTTAAGACTCTTAACTTATTACAGAACCCACTTCCAGCGATGAACGCTGGCCACAAGATCGAGACTGTACAACACGTGAACACTACTCTATTACTAGGATTGTTCGGTTCGGCGTACACCAGGACACATTCAACCACAATGAAGAAACGAAGCCAACTCTCTAAGGATGACCTGAAATCTTCGAACTGGACCATCCATGTGACACTTCCAGCCGACGATGATTGCCACACAAGTTAACGAAAGCCAATCTTTATTTCAGTCCTGTAGACGGAGCTGCCTCGAAGCGAGGGATCAACAAGTACACATCGAATTTGAAACTTTGGCCAAATTTCAAGCGCAAGGGATCTGAGTGAACTTGCTCGTCAGAATGGGCGAGGAGTGAAGGAGCCAGGGAAGAGGCAGTGCATGAAAACGGCAGAAGCAGGCCTTCTGCTCCTGTCCTAAACATGCGCTGCCGCACCCCAGCTCTATGACCCCCGCGTGTGTCTCTTTCGTCATCCGTCCATCCATCCATCCCTGGACAGACGGTGCAAGGAACAGTGATGGGCGACCTCGTACAAACGTTACTCTCTTGGACACCCACCCGTCTCTGTTCCGTGCAGCGCCAGTCCAGGAATAAGATCTATCGAAGCGTACTGCTTTCCCTGTCAGTCAACCTGTCGGTCAGTTGTTCCTCACCGGCGGAAAGGACCAGCCTCGAAATCGCCCTGCCTGAAGACCTGCTGAGATCGGTGAAAATTTTGAGGACCTGTGACAGGCATCTTCGGTTAAAGCAAGTGAACGGCGCCTTGGGACTGAACGCTGTTGAGGTTTAGGACAGAAATGCAGCACTCAAATACAACCTCGTGCAAAATCCATTATCAAGAAGAAGAAGAAGAAGAAACAAAATAGAAGAGAAGGAAATAAAAATTGAAAGCATGGTTCGAAGTTTGCCCGGTTCGGAAATTGTGAAATTCAGCAACGAGTTCTCTCTACTGGAACGTGCACAGTGCGAACTCTAGACCAGAATTGACGAGGCCTGATGTCCGACGGTGCGTGGAGAAGACAGCGCAGGGCAATCCCTGCCCGGAGCCGTTCACGATCATTTTGCAACGGACGAGGCGGAACTCTCGTCCGCACGAACAAGCCAAACAAAGAGAACGATGTTGCAGTTTGGGAAGTACCGACTGTCAACGCAGCACTCCATGTCTCCATCGAAACTACAACGTCACCCGAAGCAATCCAAGGGCACGGAGGTGTACAAGGAATTTGGCCTCGAAAACAATGAACGTAGGCCGAAATGACTGTGGATGACTCTCCCTAAATAGCTAAATGTTGGATACTACAGTATGCCAGTGTGCTGCGCAATCCCATCGATGTCCCTGACAGCGGCAGGCACATAATGATGAAATGACTATTCACGGTTCAAGAGTGAATTGCCCACCCTCGTCGCTAGAATCCGAGCCATGATGCACAAAAACTACGAGATGCTTCGGAGGTTCGTCTCACCTGAACTCGTCGACCGCACCCAAGATACATACACCTACACGTTCTTAAAATCATGCAGGCGACAGACTCTAGATTCGGGCGGTCGAACGAGATGAACGCATTCCCTAATCGTTCGAAAACAGGAACACAGCAGCAGTGCGCTTGAAGTGTTCGGGCACTCGAGCCAGAACGAGCAAGGCAGAGGAAGAGCGAACGATAAAAATGAGAGTATTGAAATGGAAAGGAAGGATGGGAAGTGCAGAGGAATGGAAGAGACGGTTTCCATCTTCGACAACGCTGAGCATCGTCTTCCTGCCTGCCTGTCTGCCGGTGCGAGATGGGCTGGGAGGGGCTGGAAGAGGCGGAGATGCGACTCTCTCGACTGTTCGACGCGATACTTACTTATCCTGTTGCGTGCATCCCTTTCCGATCGGACAGGGGAAGCGCCTTGTACTGCACAGAATGGTAGTGCACAATGAAAGTGCATAGCGCTGTACAACGTCAAGTGCACTTTGGTTCGTTACTGCAATCACACAACGCCAGTGAGTGCCAGGCACCACCTCACCACACAGCCCACGACATTTCACCGCCTCAATGCAATCAGTCCACCCGTTGCACCACCCAAGTCTCCTAGAAGAACATACATCCCCTCCGAGCTCCACCTTCCCCCGTGGAACAGATCCGCAGTACTGTCACAGTACTACACAAAATACGAAGTGAAGCGCAGAATCGACGCTCGCTTTCCCGGAGCCTCGAATCATCATCTTTTCCTGCCACTACGTCTGAACTTTCTGAACCTTGTATATTCAACCAATCATTCATAACCCGGGCTTGGAACGAATCTAAGTTTCCGTTGATTTCCGCTTGTATTCTGATTCTTTCTTCGCCACTCTGCTCTCATCAGCAGTAGCAGCAGCATTATCCATTTTATTTCCCCTGAGTACATCCGTCCACCTATCCATCCGATAGAGCAAGCTATGGTCTCGATCGCGCTCGGGGAGTAATCTGTCGACATTTTGGTCGTAGACGTTCAGTAAACATGGTAGTACAAGAATCTGTACACGGCCGCAGTAGAGGAGTGTCGTACTGCCTCTGCTGCCTGCTGCTGCTGCGTGCTGGCAGGTCCATGCCATGGGGCCATAAAGAATCCCCGACGTCAAGGCTTTACCCGGAATGGAATCTTGCAGTTTATGCTCTCGGTCAGTGCAAGTACAAGTACAGCTTGAGAGTAGCCACGGGAGTACAACGGCGCACGCAGCCCTCCCTGATCTGAACTGACGTTTAGCAGCTGCTGCTGCTGCTCATGGCCCGTAAAGTCTCATCCTCCTCTCTGTTTGTCTGTCAGGCTCTGCCCTGCCTCAGCTGGACCTTCTGGCCATCTGCTCCCTTTTTGCACTCTTTCTTTCCCCGTGGTCACTCTGATCGTGCACCCTTTGGTAGAGAAGGGAAACAGGGCAAGTCCGCCACGAATGCTCGACCGATTCTGCCGTAACGAAGTGGATTCTGGATCTGGAGCATAAGATACTGTATAATCCGTTTCGGAGTTTGATGTGCTGCGGACATGAATTGAGTTAATTCTGACAATGTCAATAGCGTCCCGCACTTTCCATCACTGTAGGGATCCAGTTTCGTGGTGGACCAAATCACGCTGTGATTGATTTTAACCAATAGTATTTCTATAGGAACTGTTTCATGGAAATGTAATGGGCAAGCGAGAATCTTGGTGGAAAGGTAACTGAACAACATAACTAATACTAAGGAAAGGCACATATTAACGAAAAAGGTTTAGGTTCCCAAGACTTGAACGAATTTGCAAGTTTGGCTTGTGAGTTGCATCTTTTCTCTTAGTACAACCTGACTCGTGGAGCATGGAGTTTGGGTAGCAATCCTTGTGAATGAAAAGTGGAGGGCAAATACATTTGTCTGTATGACAAATCCTTAGCTAACGTTGTCCTCTTCGTAGTTTAAGAGCAAATAATGAAAATATTCTGCTGCAACCATTTTTTCATATCACTTTGGAAATGCAAGGTATGGATTTGCAGTATGCGGAGTTCGTCGCAATGATATGTAAGAGGTAGAAGTTTTGATATGTTTGCTACAATAAGAGGCAACAGATGTAAGAACGAATTGTTGGCATTGTTTGTTTACGTTCCAAATAACTCAATATTTTTGCAAGAAAATTCTATGAAAGATGATAATTCATTAATTGGCGGGTTGGGAACTGATTCGTTGTAAAGGCAAGCTTAGAACTCCCGTAAACCGCTAACTATTAAAGCTACGTAACGACACAAGTCTTTATCTCTTACCGATTGGTTTCAACATTTTTAAAAGTATTTGGGATCGAGAAGGACAACCAAGTTCAGCGACAAGCTTCAGAAACGATTCATCTCCGAGTAGAACATGTAGTTGTCGGATTGGGATTGAGTTTGAGTCGGCATTCTGAAGTCTCACAGAGAGCATATTTGCGGCCATAGGTTGAACTATGGCTGGGGCTCAGTGATCGAAGCGGCCTCACGAAGTACGGCGTAGAGAAGAGCTTCAGCGCACTATAAACCCAATATGTTAAACGTGGAAATCCAATGGAAGCCAAGTAACTAGTGCACAACGCCGAAATAACCATGTTCAGGTGGCCCGACGAAGAAAGGTATGGGAAAAAAGGGCGAGGAAAAGAGTAGCCTGAATCCAGGGCAGCTGCGGTGTAAACTAACGTAGGAGCGTGAGAAGTACAGCGAACACGAGAAAGGTGCGAAGGTGAAAGGCGAATCTTTGAACTGTTTGATTGTACTGCATTGTGTACTTGTACTTTTGGAGACCTCCAACTTTAGCATTTCAACGGTAGGATCCTACGAGGTCCTGCAAAATCCAGGTCGGTCAAGCCACATGTCCAGACACAGATCCACCTCTTCCGAATGCTACTGCTGTCCTAATCCCTGCTCCCTAGAGGTGACAGCGTATGATTCTCGCTTCCCACTAAAGTGTGCCCTCCGCTCCGAGGGCGTTTGTTGTGCCTCAAAGTCTCATGGACTGTCGCAGTGCCTCTTTATCGCTCATATTGCTCCAAGCTCAATGCCTCGCTCGCGCTTGGAGTGGATTCTGCTGGTGTGCTGGTTCCATGGTTATGCGCATCGTGCAGGGTAACATCGCGATATGACTGCCTTATGTCAAATCGTTATCCCCACAAACAACCAATGTTTATTTGTCTGTCAAACATGGTTACCAGCTACCGCTAGTAAGCTTATGATCTTTTCAGCGTATCGGCCTCGTAACAAAAGATGGCATCGTCGTCAGCGGAGCTCCAGGTATGATGGTCATGGCTTGGCACGTTTTTTGAGACAGTCGACCCTCCGTTTGTGCATCGAGTCTTCCAGCCAATGTGTGAATGTAGTAATGAAGTGGAGAAAATTTCTGGGAAATTTATTTTGTCTGTGTGCGAACCAGCTTTCAAGTTCCTTTCAGCTTTCAGTCATGTGAAGGGCTACTCTGTCCGTATCTATCGATTCGCCAGGAGATCTGAGACCATCAGTCTTCCTTATAACTGGAAATTCCTGATTTGATGATGAAGAGCCTCTTTCTGGGCGAGTGTCTTTTGGTTATAAGATAGTATTGTAATATATAATTTGTGTATTTTCTCTGCTCAACTTCCACATGAAAGCATTGCAGCTGTTTGATTGTTGACAAATTTACATGAACGTACAAATGAGAAGATAAAATCAATCACACCTCGAGATCTTCTGTTCTCCTCCAGTCTAGAGTTTCAGCTTTCTGTTTTCTAGAAATCAAATTGGAGAATCCAGTTGCTCTCAAGCATCTATCGGAAAATGGTAACGAGGGTTGTGGACCGACTACAACTAAAACTACGCTACTTCAGGTCTTAGATCGATGGGTGCTTAAATTCGAATAAATGTTATGAATTAAAAGTTTTCAGCACACATTGGATAAGCACTTCGAGACAAATAACAAAATCACTGATCTCAAGGCTCTAAGCAACTCTGAATAGAAAGACAAGGAGAGATTTTCTTCTTTACTACTGTTCCGTCTCTTGCTATTATTAGCACGAATTGATTCACATACTAATCTAAAACTTGATGTTTTTCGAATTTCGCGTCATTTCAGATATGTACTTGTGGATTGATTACGTTCGAAAATAGGGCTATATGGTGGGAAGAAATTGATACGGGGTGAATTTGAACCTGTCCTACATCCTAACCTGGTCCCTAGTCCCCTGTCTAGAATGGTATTTACACTGTCAATCAGATTATTTTTTCGGTTAAACGGGTAACTGAGCTGAATTTCTCCAAGATAAACCCGGTTTTGTATTCAAGACAGGTTGGCAATGCAGAGATAGTTGATCTTGGAGTGTGACGAAACAGGAAGCAAGTAATATATCATCATCATCAGGCGATAGCGGTACAAAACATTACCTGAACTTTGAGGCTTCAAAGTTATTGGCCTTAGACCATGAAGATGTTGAGGCTGTCATGACGTGAGATACCAGACACAGACTTGTCGCACTTGCGGGAGTGCTCTAACATGGGATTCTCCATGGAATGGATTTTCGTGCACATTACCTCTTCGTCCTGAATCCTACCAGCTTGAAAGAACTGAGTGTAAGCAACTTCCGCACGAGCAGCCCCGACCAGCTGACCAAACAGATACGCTCTAAATCCAGCCCACTCATTCTCCAAGACTGCAGGTCCCAATGTCAGAGTCGGATTCATGGAAGCACCGGTGAACGGAACTCCATAAAGTGATCCACGAGAACTCTGAACAACGATGGCAATTGGCGCAATATTCTCAGGGCCTCGTGAGTCCACGGCCGTCCCAAAGATTACGAACACGAGGTCGAAAGTCAGGAAAAGCCCGAACATAACTGCTTCAAGCTCGGAGATATTCTGGCTTACAGAGTGAGCTACAAGGCCATTATATCGAGCCTGGGAGATACCGCTGAGTAGCCCTGTACCAGCGATGGCACTTTAGAGCTAAGCATGTTATACATTAAACCTTTCACGACGGGAACAATCCTAACCACCATCACCGAAAACGTGGCCTAGGGTTGATATGGCCTCCACAAATGCCTCCGGTGGCGGATGCCAGTGCTGCAATGGCTAGATCATGCGCAGTAGCAATCACCAAGAGCCTGGCAGAATCCAACTTGCTGTTAATGAGAGTAAGGAAGAAACCACATCTCCACATCCTTATATATACCAAAAAAAAAACGTGGCTCTTTACTCAGCGGCAGAGCCCAACCAAACCTCCCCGGTCACAACAGCCTGCAAAAAACGGGGCATTTTACAATTCACCATGGCAGCCCGGAAAGTTTTCAGGTAATGTTTGGATACTACACATCAACTAACACAAATTGTCGGTGAGTGATTGTGGCACAAGCTAAGCTTTCCGATAGTATTTGTTAAACAATGCAACATGAAATATGTTTTACTCCCTATATAAATATACTTCACGTTTGTAATAATACATAAATACCATAATGGAGCATAATGGTACAAATCCGATCTCACGAGGACAGAATTAATACCAGAGATTCAAATAATGTCACGTTAAACATTCTAATTACGAGTTTTACTTCTCATACACATGTCACTTCCAGAAGCATCTACAAATATTAACAAATATTAACCCGAAGGTGATACAAATCCAAGGTGTAATCATGTCAAATTTTTGAAATACATCCAATAAACACCAAAGAAATCACAAGCGAATCTACACTTGATATTCAAAGAGAAACTTTCCAAGGTTACAAGCTCAACTTGCTGCATCAAACAACCAATCTAGAAGTTTGCTTAAATCCTGAACTACACTATGCACCACTCAGATCACCCGAGTTGTATACTCTATTTCAGATGCGGTATCTTCGACAAACCGAAGCAACTCTCGCATTGTGACAAAACGCACAATTCACGAAACAGCGGAAGAATGCAGACTTAAGACTAAAAACTAACTCACTAAAAAGTGCCCCCCCCCAAGAAGAACCTTGGATCACTTTATTCACAACGAACACTCGGAGTCATCACTCGCAAGCTGCAAGCCCCCATCAAGTGCGACGTTCATGGACGCGACAGTTGCCACTCCCGAAGAACTCTTGTTTACTCCTATCCTACGTAGAACAGATGTGACCTCTAACTCTAAATTCTCCCTAGTCTCTTCCAAACCGAACATGAAAGAACTAACTACTCTACCTAACTGTTGATGTTCTACAACTTCGCTGGCTTTCATTCCTCTCAATTTACGCTCTAGCGAATCTAATTTTTTCAACTTCGTGGTATGGATTACCCAATCCACATAACTGCGAAGACATCATTTTACTCTAGCTTGCAAACTGACATCTGTCTGTTGTTCAAGTTGCCTCACGATCACCTCTATCTCCACCTATTTCGCCTGAGCCGCGACCAATTGCTACTCAACTGCTGACAATTGAGATTGCAATCTGCTGCAATCTGTATCCAACTCTCTTCCCCGCTCCATCTCTAAAGATCTGACAGCCTTGCAATTAGCTAATCGACTCTCCCAACGAGCTAATTTGGCAACCACAAACCGCTCTCGTGCCCCCAAATGCACTGTCAGCTCCTCCGCGCGTTGAAATTCTCTCTGAAATGGTGTTTGAGATTCCTCCAATTCACCCGAAGTTCTACTGTCACCTTGTGCACTGTGCAAATGTCAAGTCGAAGGCTCTTGCACTTTAGTTCCTTCTACGTACGAAGGCTCCTCTCAAAGACTAACTCTCACCGAAGGTCTTCGCACTCCAACTACTTTGCACGAAGTTGCTCTTCCCGCTCCTGCAAGGTAAGTGTCATGGTCGCACACTCAGTAGTCAAGCTTGCAACTCATTCTGTCACCTCAAGAGTTGTTGTCACCTTCGCCTTTGTTTGTCTTCGCACTAACTCCACATAGGATCCCGCTGAAGACGCCGACACCTAGTACTTCATCATCTTTCTATTTAAGTACTTCACTAACTAAACTATTCAATCACTCAGAAGATCTGACAAACTAAACTCTGCCAACTTCGGTTCGCTGGCCGAAGGCCAATCACCACAGTCGAACTCAACTGTACCCGAAGAGACCTCACACGAAAGCAACGTCGGTTGCTTCATAACTGTCTTCCCAACTTCTGCCGCAAACGGCTCCGAAGGTCCTACGCCCGAAGGAGTAAACTCTGCCAACTTTGCAAACTCTTTGCGCACGTCCGAAGATGTTTCGCCCGAAGGTTGAAGATCTTTGCCCCAAATCGCTGCTAGTTGATCCAAAGGCCGAAGGCTTTGATCCGAAGTCTTTGTCTCGATCTCATCAGAATGTTATTAGTCACTGTTCTAGTGCTCTTGGCACTAGCTAAGAGGTTCTTTTGGTTCTCTCCTAGGTTGGAGTTGTATTGTTTGTATTGTATTATTTAGCCTTTTGATCCTTTGGGTCTCACGGGCTTGATCTATTTACCATATACCATTCATCTTCTTCTTCTTCGACTTCTGCCAATGGCCTTTTTATAGGCACATCCAAAGGGTGACTTTCGACAGAAGAACTTCAGCCTTCGGAGTGGCTGAAGTTCTTCTGTCGAAAGTCATTTGTCTTCTGTTACTGTTTAATGCACTCCCAGTGCAGTCCAATCATCCGAAAACAGCTAAAGTTGCGACGTTGCCTCATTGCATTCTATAGTGTCCACTACTTCCGGTCTCTACTTTGCGTCGTGCCTTCATCTTATTGCGAGCATGCATACTCGCCATACTCATCTGCGCAGGTGGTGGTCTTCTTGTCTGCAATCCGCTACGCTGACCCACAACTTCCGAAGCCAAAGTCGTCTGCAATTTACTTCGCCTCTTCACTGGTCATTCCTCAATTTCATCATCAGACATGTCAACTTCAGCCAAAGACCGCGCAAGTTCAAATTCATCATCGTCATTGACAACTTCGTGTGCTCCTAGAGCTCCTTCGTCCTCTAATCCAACAATCTCCCTCTCGAGAGGGAATTTCTGATTCTCCTCCTCTGTCAACAATCCCAGAGCTTGGTAGAAATTGTGAAGAACGGGGACAGATAAATCATCCATCCTCCAAACCTATTCTTGACATTACTTTCGTCGACATTCCACAAAATTTGAGCGTAGTGAATCGCTCCACAAATACTAGTTGCCAAGACACCATGTACGTTGTCCGCGAATGCTTCAGAATCTGCATCAGTGCTAATGCCACATTGAGTCTCAGCGGGTTAAGGTAACCGTCGCCCGCCGGCCATTCTTGGTTGATCGAGGTGACTTGAACAACTCTGCGAACATCTTCACTTCTAGCTTTGTCACCTTCACGCTTTGGTGATCATAGAGTAAATCGCTTGCCTGACTTGCACACGGCCTGAAGACTTGACCTCATTGCTCAGTCGTCCAACTCTCAAAGTTACCACAAATTTCATTGCCCTCTGATACGCAACTGTCATACGACTCCTTCACAATTGCCACAGAAACCCAATTTCAATCCCACAGCAAGAAGTCGAGCTTTGCAGCTACTAGCTCATTGCAAAATGCTCTCAATCCGAACTCCGGCACTCTCAATGCCTTCAACTGAAATTCCAGAACTTGCACCATCGTTGCGCTCTCAATTGCTCACTTGTGATACTCGTTGAACTCTCAATTCAAAAATGAACTCTCCCGAAATGTCTGCGCGGAACTCCTGTCTTTGCTATTGTCTCTCAACATCCTAACCGCATCGTGAACTTGTGCCAATTGGTGGTACGAAGGCCGAAGTTTCTTCTTGTTGGCGCCGACATTTACTAAGCCGAAGGTGTCAAAGCCAAAGTCTTAAGGCCAAAGGACTCTCTTCGTCTTATCCTTTCCATGTCAGCCACTTTTTACACTCATAACTCGATGACTCCTTATCCGTTTCAGGAGTTTAGGGTTGAGGGCTATGCATGCTCGTTAGAACGAGCATGCAGAGCTACATCTATCAAGATGTTTCCTAAGTCAAGTTGCCACTAACTGAAAAAGTTGGGAGGTATTTACTCTAACATATCATAATACATCTAATTTAACTTTATTGACTACAAGCAAAAACACTACTCGAGCAAGGGGTATCTAACTTGGATTCCAACTATTCATGCCTTGGCATTTGTTACATAATACTTTATTTAATCTACTTCTACGCATTCTAATCCTAGAAGTGTAAATGTCTATTCCTCTACTCTTCAAACTTTATCTTTTCGAAAAAAAATGAAACACGTTACCACAACGTTGTAGGAGTCAACTCCTTACCTCAAGCACGAGTGAGCTGAATCAGTTGAGCTTGTGAAGCTGTACCTTCCGAAGGTAGACCACATTTCTTGAAGCCAACAACTCAGGTGATATATTTCCTCTGCTTTCGATGGACTCCTTCCCGTGTATAGAGCTATACATCTCAGAAACTGAATGTTTCTTCCCAAATCGAGGCTCCTCGTGAATCATCCTCTCACAGACTGCACGGAACTGGATGCCTTCAATCCATGAACGACTCTATCGAAGCATGGATTAGTTGGCCCAACTGCTTGTCCGGTTCTCTGTGTGCTAAAATCAATAAGGTGCTCTCTCGTCCAGTCTCTCCGACACTAATGCTCTGCTGGATCCGGACAACAAGGAGAGCAGAGGATCTGAAGGGCAGAAATGTCTATCAGTATCTCCCATTCGGCAGACGTCTAAAGATTTTCGGTGTAGCATTCAGAACTGTGCTTCCAAACGATGACAAATTCAGACAGGTTTATGGTTCTATGCCTCATCAGCGACAGTATTTCCAGGATTATGAAATACGCTCCGTGGAGGGTTGCCCACTTTATAATACCAGTTCTTCAGAGGGGTTCGCAAACTATGTCTGCTAATCTTGAGACCGCCGTGAATTTTAGGCCAAGAAATTCTTGTCAACGATAATATTGGAAGAGAGAAGGAATGGCAGCGCCGATTTAGTGAAAAACTAACATGGCGGGATGTCACCGAAGGGCAATGCCATCAAATGTGTATCTTCTGACATCTTCTGTAGCCGGTCATCTCATTAAATTTGACTGGCATAAAAAAAACAGCTTACTCTGGTTGTCATCTCGCCTGTCATTACCCCTGTTGAGATACTGAGATAAGAGGAGAAGGCACATATGAGATGGACATCAGAAATCAGCAAAAGAGAACGGGAAATAGCGGAAAGAGGTCAAAGGTTCCTTGAAAGGGGCTTGTATGAACCTTTTTGAGTTCAACCTTTCTTGGTTTTGACTGGTACGCATGCAAGCGGCTCGCACGGGAGACTGCGTGGAACCATTTCTGTTTTTGGTGGAATTTTATTTGGTTCAGGGAATTGTAAATACACCCCCTTCGCAAAATAAGAGAAAGGCTTGGAATATGACCTTTTCGTTAAGCCGGTCTAGTGAACACTCCACAACTGCAGCAGATTCCGGTGTATCCTCCATATGCATATGGGGAAAGAAAATGAGAAAGAGAGGCCGAGCCCATAGATAAATTCTGACATGTCTTATTGCCTTGAAAACTGCCGCGAGGGGGTGAAATTAACAATCCCCGATTTTATTCTACTTACCGTGTAAAATCAATTGATTCGAGGGCAAGATTGTATTAGCCGACCTAAAATTAATAAATTATTTATTCACAATCTAAACGTTTTCAGCATCCCGACCTTAGCTCAGTTGGTAGAGCGGGAGACTGTAGTGGACAGACAGACATCTCTAGGTCGCTGGTTCGAATCCGGCAGGTCGGATCTCAGTTTTGCATGAGAGGTCTGATTGTCTCTACTAACCCATCCAGATCTGTGCAGTTCTCGGGCCTACAAAGATATATAACCGGAAAGTAAAATTAAAACTACTCAAGTAACTTGCAGTACAGGCAGTCCATAATGCTCTCATGGTGGTCTTTGGGTGCTTTTTATTGGTCAGCACGTGTATTAAAAAAACGCAGGGACAGTTCTCCTGGTTTGCAAGTCCAGATTTCGTGCAGTCTCTCCAATATACTTCTCAAATACGCCACGGGAAAGAGAATGACGGTGGTGATGATTCTCTGAGTGCTCAATAGTAGATTCCCTCAAAATAATAGTGTCCAATAAAATTAGCACCTACATGACATCGCATACGCTGCACTATCAAATCCTTCGGTATATATACCGTGAGTTGAAACAAACCCAGTTTCCTCACTTGTACAAGTCATCTGTTTTCTTATTCTTTCAATGTTGTTTGAAATATCGTCAATCCTTGTCAAATTGCTAGGCCCCGGAGCCTGCTGAAAGCTCAAGATTTGGAGCAAACAGGATCATGTACGAGCTTCAGTCTCAAGAAAAGTAGCTTAAGTCTAAGTTCTGTTGAATGAATAGCCTCCATTTTGCAAATCTGTGTTCTGCATCAGCACTCTCGATCTTTCCTCAACGGTTGCTGCTCATGAAATATTCCCTGTTTTCTCACACTACTTTCGACAGTTGCAAGGATATTCAAAGTTTGAATGTATGAGAAGCCTGGAGTATTGGGCCTTCTGCGAAGTAAATTTGAAGTCTAAAGAAGAAGAATTGACACGTGATTCACTGCCTTGTCTTGTGCTGTTGTAGACAATGACCGTGCAGAGGAAGGTTGACTCTCAGATTTCAGAAATGCGCGGTGAAATGAAGACCCCAGAAAGGCCTGTCTGCCAACAAAAATGGAAATGAGACTGGTTTTCTTTACTGCTTCACAGACTTTACTTCATAGTACCTGTACGCATCGAATGTTACTTCAGAAACTTCCAGACAGACATTACCACCTGTTCAATCAAAGGCATCGACACAAGGTAATGCCCAGGCCAGAAGCGTATCGAACTCTGCATCTCCAACGAACTGTTCAGACCTGACCATCCACTAACAGTTTGCCAGCTATTTGTTCTTCCCCATAACATTTTGGGGAGGGAAGTGTATTGAAGACACCAGGAATGAGAGTTGTGAAAGTCATGAAAATTTTCCTCCCGAAAAGCCTCACTCTTTACTGAATCCTGCAACTGTCGCCGCATGCTTCCACAACCTTGAGGAGAAGTCCCTGTCGTAGGAAAACTTTGGTCCAGCCACTTCCTTGACTTTACCCCAGATCAGACCTCCCGTTAGCCTTCTTACTGGCCAGTCGATTAGCGAGCCAAACAGCGTTGCTAATGCTACTGGAAGTTCTAGCACTCTTGGAGGACTCGAAGTTATCTAGCACAGCACACAAAATCAATATATTTAAATAGAATGGTAAATGGTAAATAAGATACGTAAAACTCATCATGTCATGCGGTATCAATTCACAGAAGTGTAGGTTCATCGTAAGCTCTTTAAATTATACGATAGTCGACGAGTACAGGTTACATAACAACCGGAATTCCATTTACAAGTCATGACGGAAGAGGATGCAAGATGGAGGAGATTAGGGAAGTGCTCACCAGAGGAGAAGCAAAAACACCTCGAGCGAAGAACCGGTAAGGCCTGTTGTTTTTCTTTTCAGCACTATAAGGTGCAATCGCCGCATATATGACAGGCTTGGCACCATCCCAAGTTGGAGCATACAGGGCCTGTGAAGACAGGACCTAGAAGTTAGTATGGAGCACATTATATATTTTTTACCTTTGTGTGTGCACTTGCCAGTCGTAAAAATGGACCATTTCGCAAGTTTAGTGTATTGGCTTGAGCATTGAAATCTGAAACAAAAAAGTGAGCGGTATTAGAGAAGACTATTGGTCTCACTTTCAAAAGCCAAGAGAATGGTGGTCGACCGAAAGCTTGGTTCCTCCATATGTCACTATAGACTGAACCTGTTCAACCAAAGTTGCAGTTTAGTAGACTCTCCAGACTATAGCCTTTATGGAATTGGAGGTATTGAACGTTATTAGGATCAATAAAGAATATGATTCCAGCACGTTTCATGTTATTCATATAGAGATGGGTATGGTGCAATGAAGCTTCTCAGTTTAAGCTAAGTAAGATCATGTTTTCCTTATGATCAAGCTCATGCAACGAGAGAGATGAATGTAGTTTGACCTGGATCAACTGCAGATGATTCTATTCCCTGTCCTGGAGAGAAACAACTGCACCAAACATCAGTACGCAGCGCAGATGAAAGATTTTCATGGGTTCGGTTACTCAGGAATGAGTAAAACGGAAACATATTAAATCATTTGTTATGGTCTCTAGGTTTTACTCATAACCTTCATACAGAAGACCCGAATTATCTTCACCATACCAAGCAGAAAGTTTGATGAAAAGGTTTTATGAAAACATTCTTAGTCTCCATAAGACTTCATTTGCTTTTCTAAACAACCACTCACATAAAAATACTGAAAACATCGACCCTATTTTCAGAAGCCACAAGGAGATAGTCCCATCACCCAAGATTATTGAATTTCCAAAGCGATTGCATGAACTATCTGCAACGTAGAAGTGGAGTGTAGAGAATGTGATGACACAAAAAGTTCTTTCTGAAGTTACTGCCTGGAAATTTATGAAGAATTCTACTGCATCAAGTTTCAATGTGAGCAGAAGGCCTTACCTTGCCATCGCAATTGAGCTTCATGTGCGAACAAAGCATTCGCGAGTTTGGTCCGTGCATATAGACCTTCCTCGTACTTGTTTAGAAAGCTCACCTGACCAGAGCATCAACTCATAAGTGCTGAATAAAATGGAAATTTCAAACAAAAAGATTAACGCCATACGAACCATATCACATCACACATATGGTCCTCCAGATGTACGTTTACTGATATAACTTAATCTCTCGAAACCGTTGAATGAGTTAGTTAATTTAACAAGGATGGAAAACACATTGTAGAGTAGTAGCTCACCGGATTGAATACATCTGAGTATCGAGATGTGACCGAAGATACGTTCACCACCTAAACACAAGGCGTGTGTATCGATAGTTGGAAAACTCTCTACTTTTGTGAATCCTTGTTGCATGGTGCGCCGTAGCGAGTTGCTAGGAGACGTTTAGCAATCTAGAAACATTTTTATGTCAAATGAATTCAAGGGATCACATATAGCAATCATGAGCAGCTACTGAAGCTTTGGCTCTGGCTCACAAGCTAACTCACCCTTGAAGGGGCTCCCCTTGTTAAATCCTCTTCAAGAAGGCGAGTGAATGTATAAGGCCCGAGAAAGTTCACCTGGTTTTAGATAAATAGATAGTAGGAAGTCAAAACACTTGTTTCTTGTCATTCCATACTCAGCTCTTACGAATAAGATATGACTAGCAAGGTATATTCAATAGTAATACCGACAGATTAAGTTTCTAACGAGAGTTTGGAGAACACATCATTCTATTGTCTATCTCAGGCATCTGCGGCATTGAACCATTTCCTGAACTTTTTATCTTTAACTCTTCAGACAATATACATAGCATACACATTGTTCTAAGAGAAACGGTCGATGAGAATAAACCTTAAATGATGTATAAAAATAACAAAGACAAACATTCAGATTATTTAAGGAACATTATGAATTGATAATCAAACCTGTGCTGATCCCCCGATGCCCTCTGGTGAATAGGATGGTTCCTGTGAGTTGAAGCCGGCATTATTGACCTATGCCAGGCATGTGTGCCATTTGTCAGCGTCTTGATTCTTGAAGTTTGATTTGTATTCACAGTGAACATTGTAAGATGACATTTAGTAGAAGGAATTTAATTGTGAAAACTTTGCATCCAGTCAGATCTTCTGTTCCTTTATCGTATGAACATGGTAATCATAGTCAAAGCTGAAAAAGTAACTTGAAAAAGATGCCTCTCAGAAAATCATCCTATCTCGTTAATAATATCTACATATCTTAATTGTAGCAAATATGGATACCAGCTTAAAGAAACACGGTTCAAGGTTCTCGACCGATATGTTCTTGAACGATATGCTAGAATGGAGTAGATAATAATGATAATATTCTTCATCTGGAGAATTCGACACTCACTAGAATATTTAGAGGAAGTTTCCTGGACTTAAATTCTGAAGCACACTTTCGAATTGAATCCATGCTCATCATATCGAGATGAAGCACCTCCACATCTGCGCCTGGACAAGCCTGCATGACAGCAGGGTACGTATTTCAGACAGTAAAAGCAGAATACTAGCAAATTAATCTTGGTATTAAACATCACCAAGATGCAGGTTGTTTTACTCAAGCATCTAGGATTATCGCTGCCATGATCTGGCAACTCTAAGAACCCAAAAAGTAACGCCAAGCTATACATACATATCAGTACTAAAAAGAGAACAAAATGAATTCATTGTTGGAAACGTACATCTTGGATATAACCCACTGCTTCACGACCCTTATCAACATTACGGCAAGCCAAAAACACCTTGATGTCACTCTTGGCAAGAGCGAGTGCAGTCTCTCTGAAACAGCAGCAAAGTCATATTATAAAGCTTGCACTGGGGCGAGAAAGCAATATAGTAAGGACCATAAGTGGTTAACAACGATGTCAAGACTCTGTCTGCGGCGTTGATATAACTTGAGTTTGTTTGAAACTTCATACGGAGGAAGATTAGTAAGACAAAGGAATCACAGGAACATTCCAACACGCCAAGCTTTGGATTTGTAAACGATTAGAATTGATCATCAGTTTTAGGAAAAACATCCATATAACATTTTGGGATGATGACAAGTGCGCTTAACAAGCAATAACTCGAAACTTGACCGCTGAAGACCGTCAACCACGCTCTGACATCAGTGCTTTTGCGAGGAATAGGAGAACGCATACAAAGTACAGGCAACTTCACACAAGGCACTATACCTTCCAATTCCAGTGTTTGCTCCTGTAACAATTGCCACTTGCTTTGACTTCATCTTGAGGAACTAAAATGCTCACGAGCCCAAAGCAGCTAGTGGACCTCCACAAATGGAACACTGTTCCTACGCTCCAGACAAGAAGAAGGATTGTCCACCACAATCCAACCTGCGAGAGGATATGACATTAAAGGTGAATAAATCAGGTCACGCAGCTACTGAAGTATCATGAAGACAGACGATACGGGAGTGCAGCCAACTGTCCGCATTATATCGGCGTCCTTGTTGAAATCTCAAAAATCAAATCCGATCAATTGCGGATTCGAGAAATAAAAAATTCGGATGAGATCACCGACGAGAAGATCGAGATTCTCGAACCAACAGATGGAATTCCGTCCCCTTACAAAGAACGCACGACAGAATACAGAGCACAAGGTTCACATGGGACGGAGATCAGAAGTTTCTTCTGGAGTCCCAAAACTGTCATAATTAATGTATCGCCAAGCAAATCGTGCCACAAGACTTGTCGCCCCACGAAATGATAAAAGTCTGGCGAAAACAAAGGAGACGACACAATGAGTTCACTGAGTGGTTGAATGGTCCCGTGGAAGAATGAATGAATCGCTCTGTCCTAGCTATGACAATTTGGTTGTTGGGAGGTATTGTAAAGCAATGATAGTAGTCGTACCTGCTGTCAGTCCATTCAAGCTGCAGGCATTCACGTACTCGATCGACAGAAAAGCTTCGTCCAAAGTTCAAGCATCCCCAGGGCGGCAGGCTGCCAACCGAAGCAACGATGCTCTGTCTTTACTGCAACGATCCTCTGTCTTTACTGCGGTAGGTCTGTGAGCCGCAGGACCTTCAAAATTAACCAGATTTATCTTGTGGCTGCGGCCTTATAAAACAGAGCCGTCACAATCACTTCAGGACTCCGTAATTTGAAGACACTGGCATGAGTTCTGAGACCGCTCGTCTTCAGAGTTTACTCTACTTCCATTCGCCCTGGAAGTCGAGCATCGCACGCTATTCCCGGAGCCCTCGGAGGAAGACGTTTGACTTTTGGACCTTGCGCCGCTCATTGTGGCCCATGACCGGAATCCGTCCCTGCGAAGTCCGGAGCTGGACTTTGATGAACCCTCAGGAATTTCCATCACAATTCAAGAAATGGAGATAATACAAAAATGCGGCCGTGAAATAAAATCGGACGTGCATGTGCAGTCACTTCTGAGAACGGATGAGGGGTTTATGTATTCAGGAGGATTTTCTATGATTTTCTGCACGGCGTACGTCGGATAGTCACTCTGATTCTTCTTCGGGGAAAAACGTCCACTTTCGTTTCGTTGAATGCGGTTCGCATAGCAGAAATGCATGTCGTGAATTCACGGGAATACATCGGATTTCCCTTCCAACTGTATTTTCCCATTTTCGTTGAATACATGTGACCGTGCAAAAGTGCTTGTTGGTATTCAGTAAGAAGACTGCTCTAAAACTGATCAGACGAGGACGGCGATACACCCCACCTTTCCAAGAGGCATGGATTTAACGAGTGCAGGCATATTCATGGTTTGGCGCTTTTCCCCTCTTTTTAGTGTGTGAGAAAGTGATTAAGTCATTCCTGAAAAGAAGAACTTCTGACTTGGCGAAACAGGACCAGACGTTGGCAACAATCTCAGGATGTGCTGAGCACTGCCCGGTCGTGAAGTGGAACGAGGAATGAATGAATGAATAATTATAACGATCCTTGGAACTTTCGCCATACTTTTCGCATGTGAAGAGTGTGCCCGAAGTAACAACGATATCCTTTCATGATTCGTTCCTGTTCTGTGCCATTAGAAATGGAGTCGATACAACAGAATTGGCCGACTTTAGTCATCTACTTAAACCACCAAAGGTTTGATGCAATTTTAATTTATAATGTATTTGAATTTACTTCATTTGTTGCTGTTGCTGGAAGGCGTGTCATTTCCTATGATTTCCTAGGGATCACAGTTTTTCTTGTAGACACCAGTTTCAATCCGACAAGAGAAAATCAATGGACTCATCTTATTCTTCTTCAGGTTGTAGACAAATGAAGAATTTTTGTATAATTCCACTAAAAGTCAAAGTTCTTTACGAGTTTTGTGCAATTTTTTCATGAAGCAATAAGAGAATTCGAATTTTTTGTTATGAAGTAATATTTTCGCTCACCAATATTTACTTTTTCTATTTGAAACAAAATTCATGAAGTATCTCTTCAAGCTAAGGGTTTTTTTGTTCTCTCCTTGGTTGGGGTTGGACTTTGTTTTTCAGCCTTTTGACCCTTTGGTTCCCACGGGCTTGATCTATTTACCATTTTTTAACATTACAAAATTCAATATGGTATGTTGGCTTTAATCAAGGGTCGACCAACACGATCACACAAAAGTAAAGAACCAGATGTGTCTCCCTTCTGGGTTAAGCTATCAGGTCACTACCGCAGACTTTCTAAATTTTTCAATAAAATCAAGTACAACTAGGAAGAATTGGAAAGAGTGAAGAATCAATGTTACTAATATTGATGAGCACATCATTAAACTCTTTCATTGCTTCACAACTCATGAATAAAAATAAAACCTAAATTTTGACCAACTCCTACGTTAATGCATCCTCATTTTATTAAACTAGGTGCACAAATTATTTGCAATTTAGAACTAATGCTCCCTCTATTTTATTTACAGTTAGATCCAAGTCGCATGATGTGTTTAGGACATACATATATAAAAAATAAAGTGACATGACTGATGCATTACATTAGCAATGTGTAGCATGGAGTCTTGTAAATCTGAAAAACACAAAGAGTTGTCTTTCTTATTCTCCCTTTATTTCAAAATGAACGGTTGAAAGATAAAGTAAAGCTTTTAGATAATGGTTGCTATGACTTGGTATAATTTTAATATTTCTCTCTAGATCTTGTTTCTTGTTAAAACATGAATAAAGGTCATGGGACGTGTGTAAAATGCGTGAGACATCAAGGTCCGATAGGTCTCTTAATATAGTAAATTCTCTTTGAAATGACGAATTAATTTGATGTTTAATTAGATCTCAAGCAAGTAAACACTTGGAAATTCTAGAACAACGATTATCAACACAGCTTTCAATAGAGACTCGAATATTGAACTGTTACTTGGAGTATTTTCCGTTGTAATCAAAGGAAGATGGACTCATCTACTGTAGGAATATAACCGTAAAGGTTTTACCTGGATTTTGTGCAATTTCAGCGTCATTGCCGAACAAGCAATGATGAGGTTGATCTTCTTTATATTACATATAGAATGTCTGTATCGATTCCTTCCATTATCTCTTATTTTGACTGTTTATTGATTATTTTAACAAGATGCACCACTGGAAAGAGTCTGAACTTGAACAGATGAACTCTATTCACATCACCGTTGGATCAGGAAATCTCCTATGCTAATTGATCAAATTTTGGATTCTCCCTAAAGTTATTAGATGTTAATACATAATCTTTTCTTCTTAATCACAACATAAATATTTATAAAAACTGGTGGACTGGAATCATCTGCACCGCCTAACTGGGGTTCACTAATAATTGATTCTAAATTGATTCATATCAATGATCTAAATGAAACCCCCTTCATATGTTTGATTTGACGATTCGTCCCAAACTCCTTATCTTCATGATAATGAGTTTGTTGAGTAGATACTACATTCGGTGCGGAAATTGCTTCTGAACTTCGAGATGTCGTACAACAGTTGCATGGACAAATAGAGTGGGCTCATATATTACAATGACTTGGAACTCCTAATGTTTGTGTTTCTAGATTTGTTTATTACATCACGATATTATCGTGATGAAATACTTGCCCCTCGTCTCCCCACGTTTATTTTTTACCTTTTTCGGCTTGATTACTTCGTCGCTTTCCTATGTGGCATTTCCATGTTGCACCTCTTAATTTGATTATGACATGAGTATTTTCTGACCACCTTATTATTTTTATATCATATTTTAATTGTAAGTGAGATTTCACCACCCCGCTCAAGATTTCATGAAGTGTCATACACAGTAGAATAGCGATATTGATCTCTGCAGTCTAGTATTTGAGTTTGTATAGTTACCGGTACTTGCAAGATTGCTTACCTCTGGCATTAAAAGACATAACACCTCTCTCTCTCTCTTAATACAACCTCGGAGTTGACCTATTCAAAAAAGTTCACATCATACATGGAATATAATATCACAGTTGACAGCCATCTAATCTACGACTAATCTACCAGCCACGAGCTAAAAGAGTGATTATCCCTCTGTTACTGTAAAGTAGCAAGTGAAGTTCTCTACTGCGTAGAATTTTCATCTCCCCAGTTTATCTATTTGATTCTGCTATCTTTCCTCTATAATCTGTGAGGAACTTTCATGCATGACCAGCTCGGACGGATGTGAGGATTTATGTTCTACAACCGCTGGCAGGTACAAAAGAGACTATACGACAAAAAATACAAAAAATTCAGTATCGACTCACCAACTTTACCATTGATTCCTGCTAAACCGCTTCAGTTCTCGGTAGAAAACGAAGTAACACACAATAGAAGCAGTACAAAGTACATCGTACATTACATTCGTAGAGTGTGTCATTGATCAAAGTTCATATGCGAAATCGAATCATGTGATTCTAGTGACTTAGGCCATGTTTTCTTACAGAGGCTCGAGTTGCATAGATTTCGGGCGCGTCTTCTGACTGTCGTTAGGACCTATTTTTACTCTGTTACAGTGGAATTTCTCGTTTATCCGTAGATTGACATTCTTCTCCTATGTACGTTACAGGATGTGGTATCGCTTATAAGTCGAAGAACTCTGGTGATGACGTGGTCCTCGACAACTCTTCGCATCCGGTTCGGAAATGCAATCTTCCAGTTGTTCCATTCTCGCCTTTACTTCCCAAGGAGACAGTACACTCACTACGGACGTCACCACAATTAAAGGGGAGATCCAGATCTCAGGTCGACAATCCACTTGGTATAGTTCATAGACTATGAACTATACAAACTACGGTCAGAGAGCTATGAATCATAGTTCTCTGACCATACTGTACCTGCATTACCATGCACATTTATCTTTCCAAACTCGTGGGAGTCGCTATGCGGAGACGTACACTTTGTTGGTCAAAAGGAGAAACGTGGCAGAACCGTACTTCAGCACAAGGAACGCCCCCGCCCCTATCTGAGATTGGTATTGCACGCTGATCGTGTCCTATTAAGGCTGCATGTGCAGTGTCTTTGGAAGACACCTGTGATTAGTTCACGTCAACCAGATGAAGTAACCACGTTATGTACAGAGTGGTAGTAAGTGGACAACAGGACGATTTTCTCCTCTTCACGCCAGGACTGGAGCGTCACGTTCTCTGTTCAAAACCTCTGCACACTTCTTTAACTCATCACAGAAGATGACACGAGAGAGATGATGATGAACGATGGAGATAGCGAAATGCAAACGCTTCTGCTCAGACGTATGATGTGGACGCAACCTTGATCGACAAGTCCTAACGTACATGACGACTGTGATAGGCAACTAAACGGGAAAATATTTCTCCGACAAAGCACTTTTGACAACGAGACGGTAGCATGTTCCTTGACTCATGGCGTATACGAAACAAAAAGCAGTCGAGGCATCGGGACATGAGAAAAATTTCTGGTGTCAAACGGTGAGGTTTGGCCAACGCACAAATCCGAAGATGGACAGTGTAGATTGTGCGGCTTGACCGCGACAGGATCGCTGCCGGGAAACTAAGGGCGTGAACAATGAGCAGAAAGCAAATCACCATCGTTTGATGGGGATTTGCTTGCACTACAAAGAGAACTCACGAGTGAGAAGTGAAGGTCAGCTCAGAGTGGCCCACAACGAATCAAGCATTCAGCAAAGGTCGACAACACATCCGTAGCTTTGGACAAAACTTCAGCTCGTTAGAAGATTACGCTGCTATCGGAGATGCAAATATATGTACAACACTAAAGGTGAATACAATCAGAAGAGATCGATTCTTTTCAAAATTCTGAGTATGTAGTACTACACAGTTGGAGTTATAGAGTTTCCACATGATGATGACTGGGACTGACCTACTATCCTACAACGAACGGCTGCAATGTTCAAGCTTGGCTTGATGTTTGCCGCCGCTTACTCTCGCAAGAAAGGAAGTTATCTTCACTGTCACTGACAGACAGTCGAACAGATACAACTAAAGAAAACAGAAGTTTCGGTAATCTCTACCGAGAGTTATCTTGAGTGGGCAGGTGCGAACTGGGGCCCTGATGGAGCGGGGACTGCGAGCTTGTGCTCGTGCTAGAATCTGTCGTCGACACAGATCTGCCGGAATTAAGAAGGGAGGAGCTGGAATCTGCAACTCGAGACTTGTTATTGGTCAGAGACGGGCCTCTCGGATCGTGAAGTGATTGTTGTGGTTGGTGAATTACAATGGGTTTGGTGGCGGGGACGGGCGGGCAACCGAAGTCTCCTCGGAGGATCTGCACCACTTGGCGCATGTGAGGCCTGGTGGTGGGATCGGGGTGCGAGCAAAGCAGCCCCACGGACAGCACGGTGGCCACCTGAATGGTGTCGAAAGTGCCCCTCTGCAGCCTCGAGTCCACGGCATTCAGAAGTTCGCCCTTGCTGTGCAGCCCCCACACCCAATCCACCAGGTTAATTTCGTCGGGCGGCAGCTTCCTCTCGATCGGCCGCCTGCCGCAGGCCACCTCCAGGGCCAGGGCACCGAAGCTAAACACATCGGTCTTGTCCGTGGCCTTCCCCGTGTACGCAATCTCGGGGGCCAAGTACCCGTAGGTGCCAGCCACGGTCGTGCTCAGCGGAGCTTTGTTGTGGTCCACCATCCGGGCGAGGCCAAAATCCCCGAGCCGCGGTTGGTAATTGTGATCCAGGAGCACATTGGAGGCTTTGACGTCCCTGTGCACGACCTGCTTCTCCCAGCCCACGTGCAGGTAGGCCAAGGCCGAGGCCACGCCCTGGACGATGTTGAATCTGCTCTCCCACGGGAACACGGCCCTCTGTTTGCCGAACAGCAGCCGGTCCAAGCTCCCGTTGGGCATGAAGTCGTACACCAGCAGCAGCTCGCCCTTCTCGTGGCACCAGCCCTGGAGCTGCACCAGATTGCGGTGCCGGAGGCGGCCAATGCTGGCCACCTCGGCGATGAACTGCCTCTCGCCATTCTTTGCGTTGTTGGGCTCGATCCGCTTCACGGCCACGGGCGTTCCTCCTTCGAGCGTGCCCTTGTACACGCTCCCGAAGCCTCCCCGGCCGAGCAGGGCGTTGGAATTGAAGCCCTGCGTGGCCAGGCTCAGATCCTTGTAGGCGAAAATACGAGGCCCCTGATCGGCCCCATGGACGGGGCCGCGAACGAGCCTTCGGCGGGCCTTGACGATGCGGCAGATCTTGACCAGGACGTAGCAGAGCAGCAGCAGCAGCAGCAGGGCGCCAGCGAGCACGGAGGCGACCAGGATGATGAGCTCCTTGCCGCTGGGATCGTCGGCCTTGGTGTCGTTGAGCATGGTGAAGGGGAAGAATGTGGTGCTGCTGCTCTGCGTGCTGGTGGAGATGTCCTTGGGGAGCTGGCTGCCCAAGCAGCTGGACGTGAAATTCCACCAGTGGACCGTCACCCAGACGGGCGTCGAGAACCCGATGAACATCTTCTCGAGGAACACTCCGGCCAGGTCCAGCTTCCGGTCCACCACCGGCGCCACGGGCCTGGTGGTGGTGTTGCTCACGCGCACCTGCAGCTGCGACGTGCGCGCGTCGAAGTCTATCCAGGCCACGGCCACGGCCCCGTCCGTCAGCAGGTCGTCGACGTTGGTCGAGGCCGTGCTACTGCCCGAGAAGTTGGTCCGGTCGCCGCCGAGCTGCAAATCGCTCTTCGTGTCCAGCTTGTGCAGCTGCACGGCCAGCAGGTTCCACTGCGCGCTCGAGATCACGTCGTAGTTCGGCCCCGTGACCTCGTGCCCGCCCGGGATGGTCTCAACGGCCTCCTCGACCGGCACGACGATGAAGGCGATGCCGTCCCCGGCCGACGTGCTCTTCCGGCCGGTCGTCATGGTGAAGGCGAACGAAGTGCTGAAGGACACGGCGATCTTGGACTGGGGATCCACGAGCGTCACAGTCTCCTTGTGCATGGCCTGCGCCTGGCCCAGGGCGTTCTGGGGCGGCGCTACCTCGGACGCATTCGGAGGCCTTCCGCCGGGGGCCATGCGGATGTGCGAGTCGGCGTCGAGCCATGAGTGCGAGATGAAGTGGATGTTGTTGTAGGAGAAGCTGGTCAGGCCGAAGCTGGTGTCGCAAGCGCCGTCGACGGCAGAGACCGCTACTGCAAGACCACCGAGCAGAACCAACGCGCACACAAGCGCCCTACATCTCGGCAGCGCTTGACTCATCGTCCTCTGATACTCTTGTTACTGCTGCGAAGTCACGGTGATCACGCGCTGGGTTCGTCTACTCCACGCCATGCCTGGGCATCGCTCCTCAGCTCATCGAGATTTTCTGTACACGCCAACACGCAGCAAGAGCAGCGGCAGCAGCGACGGCAGCAGCCGAGTCTCAGCATTATAATCGTACACAAATGTCCCATATGCTGCTGATCGAGGCGGGTTCCGGCCCTCGCTCGGCTACCACGCATCGCCCTCTCCGGAGAGATGCAAGCTTCGGCGATTCGGCATGTATTATGATCTGGGCGGTGCTTCTAGCAGCGCTCAGGGTGATAATACATGCACGGAGCAGCTAGACCACCTGACGCAGGTGCTATGGACTCGGACTCTTCTACCCATGGCGCCAACACACATTGCCCACCCAGCCAGGCCTGCATTGCTACGATCCATTCAAGAGGCGAGATTTGAAGAGTACAAAACCAAGACCTGCGAAGACACAATTGCAAGACGCAGCGGGCGGATGGAAGGAAGCGGGAGGCCAGTGTCAGAGGAAAGGAAGCGGTCATCAGATATTCTCACCTTCAGTGGCAGCCCTTGCAGGGCTACATAATGGACTACCACGGCCCAGAGCGCAAGTTGGCCACGAATCCAAGCAGCAGCAGAAGAATCGCAGCGCTCGCAGCAAACTGTCAGCGGTAGACAGAATGTGGAATTTTCACATCCGTCGTCCGAGCAAGAGAAGGAAGGGAAGGCAAGACGAGGCGAGGGGAGGGGAGGGGGGAGCAGCAGCGAGCCAGGACTCGGTCGGTCAGTCTCGGGGAGTGACTGTCACAGTGAGGGAGGCCGAGAGAATGAACCCGGAACACGATCGGACGCACGTCATCATCTAGTCCTACAGTGCGCGAGCTATTAACTGCCCGGAGGCGTGGCAGCATAATCAGCTGCTCGAGGGCGAGCTCAAAGCACCATGTGCTGCGAGGGCGGGCGGGGGCTCATCTCATCTCCACATGAACTCGGCTTTCCGTTATCCCTTCGTAGCTCAACCCGTTCCCAGTTGCATTGTCCAATTTCCACTCCGAGCGGCTGCGTTGGTCCAGTAACCAAGCGTTGTAGTAGCCCGCGGGGAGCAGCTTCACTTGAATCTTCGAGAATCTCATGCATCTCGCGCACTTACTCTGCTCACGCCTTGCGGTTCCAGATCCCTTACGTCGGCCTGGAAGCCTGCAAGCTTCAGCTCTACTGAGACAAGCACGCCGTAATCCGGTTCCTGAGGGGCACCAAAATTTGGCCCACTTGCCGTGGATTGCCCTCCCTTCAGACCCTCGAATTATCCCCGCTGCGTTTGAATATAAGAATCCCCTCGAGAGAAGAAAATAAATCTCTCGAGCGGAAATTCCAAGAACCCGTCCGCCGCATTTCCACGTTTATTGGGAGGTATATACACAAATGCCCCGAGTTAAGAGATCGCACCCCGACCCCATTTCGGAGTTAATATGTTCAGGGGTGGATTCTATTGACGGCGCGGTTCAGGCCTTAGAAAAGCAAGTGGCGGGGGAAAGTCAAGCGGACTTATTGTGGGAGGGGGGCACAGGTCCGTCAATAGCATCGAGTGCACGAATAACCAATGCCCCCACGATTAGCTTGAATATGCAATCGGCAGCGACTGAGAATACAGTGAAGAGATGGGCCTTGCGACCGAGCAGTCGGAGTCGATACAAGCGCCCAGGAGCGAGGGCGTCTGAAGATGCGGGTCGTGCCTGCATGTGAAGCTGCGACATTCATGCGGAGTGGGCAGGGCGCGCAACGGCTGCGGATCGTGCTCCGCTGCGGATTGTGCACTATTGCTGACACCTGTCACAGTTCTATTCGCACTCTTCTTCTCTTCTCCTCCTGTCTCTTCTCTCTTCTTTCCTTCCGTTCCATTCCCTCCCCTCCCCTGGGCTTGCCTCTCTTCTCGTCCCTCAGCTGCTAGGTTTGCCTGTTTCCAGCCGGTGACCACTGGCGTTCGGAGCACTTTGTTGCAAATGTCCTCACTCATGTTCGACTGCAGCTTTAGAACTAATGGAAGAGCATATCAGATGGTTACAGAGAGTGAAACTATAGAGTAGGCTCTATAGCAAGTGCTTACCTGTGTCGAAGCCTTGCGTGAATACAAATTCCAATCCCTGGAGACAAATTGTACCGACGATATCTGTTAGCAAACAGCAAACAAGTACGTTCCTCGGGCACTTTGCAAACAGCAAAATTAATGAACATGAACGCAACGTACCTTGACTAACAGCATGTTCCAATTCAGTGAATTTTCGAAAACCTGGAAATCGCAGATACCCGAAATTCCGATCCTCCTTGAACTTGCACGCGAAAAATTAGAAGATTTGAAAGAAGGCGAAAACAGGAAAGATGAAACAATCACATCTCAGGCAACAAACATCAAGCCTCAAGTTAAGCTACCTATTGACAAGATCAAATCTGGACATGAGAGTTTTCTCACATGCGACTAAATCACCTCTTTCACATGAAGTTCACTGCTGGACTAAGAGAGAGTTCGATGATGCTGCAACAAGTTCATAACGTTCAAACTTTTCGATATATATGCAATAATGAAGTTCCCGACTGTAAACTTTCATGGGCTCCGCATCACTGATCGTTGAAGCAAATGAAATGTGAAGGATCCCAATGCAGTCTTTATAATTTTTTACACAATTGTTTTCGTTCGAGATTATTTATGGAAGTGACTGGGAGAACAGGTTGAAGAGCATGTAGCAGAAGGAAAGTAACGAGTTATCTTGATAAAGGAGAGATTTAAAAGACACAAATATAAATGCAGGAAGGCTTACATTGTGCGAGTTAGAAGTCACTGTAACATATTTTGGATTGTACTGATCTGATATCGGATAGAGTAAAAGTTTCATTCGTGCAAAGCACGAATGAAAAGTGCGGAGTAAATAGGAACATCTGTCGACACTAGAAAGATTTTAGTAAATATATCCATCCGCAATGTGCGTGACAATGGAAGACAACCAAATTTTACACATAATGTCAGATGATTTCAGAGCAAAAATAATACAAAAGCCAAATGTCGATTCATTTCACTTGGCCAGAACAGTATTTCGAAGCAAGCGTCTCAACATTGACCTCTTTTCAACGGTAGATCATTGTACACATATCAGGATGGCCAAATAGTTGCATGGCTGTCAATGATAATGTAAACTGAATCAACTTGCAACCCTGTCGATTCTTTGTGAACCACATTTGAACAGTGCTGGCCTGTAACCAATCTGATTAGGCATATGTAGTCGGAAGAGAGTTCCGCCTGTTATGAAAGTTGAGAATTATTATATTGGATCATATATTATTACCATTCACCATTTAACATATATTTCTACAATTTTAATCCTCTATACGAAATGGTACTCTGGCCATCATTGGTACATCTGTCTTTTTTCAGTTCATTATTTTTGTTAACCAGAATATCACCGAGGGAATTTTACCGATAGGGTAAATATCTTTGGGAAGCAATCGCCGCCATGACTTACACATCAGGCCTCTCCAACAAGACGTTACAGCATAGGCACAACTGTTTTGTGCTACTCCAACATGCAGCCATCTTCTCTGTGAGCCAAGTAATGAGATCAATTTATTGTTGTTGTTTGTAAGGACATCGTACTTCCAGCAACACTTCGGGTACGATCATGTGTTATTGCTTCATGCATATACATTATTTGGAGATTGACATTCACAGGTGAAGAGCTTAGGGTGGGAATAAGAGCCCTTTTGATGTTGCTGGAGCTAATCTAGATAGACAGTTTGGTATGGTCAAGGAATGGCTTACTGGTTTAGGCTCAGCCTTTGGCTAATCCCTCTGGTAATGTTGTGGGTAGAATAATATAGAATTGCATAAAGCTAGTTGACTTTCTTGCTTGCTCTACTGCTCATTACTGTACTCTGATAGAAGCATACTTCACTAACCATACTAACTGACATTACTCAGGGTGACTAGATCAAAGAATCCTTTTCGAACAATATTAAACTCCTGTAAATTTCCTTTCGCTAATAGGAACTGAGTGTATTCCCATGATCTTCTCCACTGTAGATGAAGCTCATATTAGTTCGACGTTGACCAGTAGTATTTGATATGCATATTACATTCGGTTCTGTTCCGGACAAATGCTTTTATTTGCTTGCGCGGTCGAATTTTAGAGAGAAAAATGAGTCATCAGCACTGAGGAAGTCAGTGCAGTTGATATTAGGGATGAGAAAATGGAGTACACCAGTTGTGTTGTGAGCGTCCACTTTTGCAAGTGGCAGTAAAATCTAGATTCAGCTTGCGTCATTGGAGACGTAAGTTTTCTAATTCGTAGTCAAATTCAAGACCATGTCGTCTCAATATAACTTGTGACAATTTCGTGATAACTTGTGAATTTTCGTGATAATTCTATGTGGTCCGGATCACTATGTTCGTAGTGATCTAATCCCAGTAACCTTTGGATGCAGTCTAATGCTCCTCTATGTCGGGAAATGTGGACTATTTCCAGAATTTAGTGAACGACATAAAGACTTCAACTTGAAGGTCGAAGTTGGATAGTGTTATTTATGAAACTTCCAAGAACGATTGATGGACCTTAGGATGGTGTGCTAATGTACGAATATTCGCTTTACGTGGCTAGAGTAGCTTATGCGTGGTAAAATTCTATTATGCTGTTGCAAATAGATCAATAACAATTTGTACTACTGCAGTTTCCTTGAGACAGGACTGGCGCATGCTCGCTCGCTCCTGCTCTCTCCTGCCATCTAACAAGTTCCGAGACTACGGCTGAACCTTTCCGTGAAACTGCATCGCTATATTGAACATTCCTGAACATTGATAGCCGATCCGTGCAGAAAAATCGGTTCAAGTGGACTCTGAGAATCTCCTCTAAACTGAAAATTAGGAGTCGTGGATTGAGCAATAGGGCCCGACACGTCCTGATAAAGAACCGAAACCGTATTCAACAGAGATTCCTTTTTTAGACTGATCGTCGCATACTGGACAGAAACGGTCTCTCTCTCCAGTCTCGAAGAAAGAGCGGCCGTCTCCCCTCCCGCCCACTGTCCTAATTTACTTGGGAGTGAGCTTCTACGAATTCCTGCACATGGAGGAGGCAAAGCGTTTGCATATTCTGAGGAAGGACCCACTATCCGGCCTTCCATCGTACCCACAAATAGTTCACAGTTCGAAAATAAAATGGATCCCAAGTCCGGGCCACGCCAATTTAGTAAACGTGGGCCCGAACTCCACCCTCGCATTTAATAAAAACTAAAGATGTTCCTGCAGGGCTCTTCTACCCCGGATCGACTGCTGGAAACCAGGGAGGCGTGACGATTTCTGCCCTTTCCACCACGGCTTTCGTCTCATCCCGCTGAAGTCGACGCATGGTTTTCTTGGGGAGCACGGCGGACTGGGCTGGACTGGAATGGTGCGAGACAAGACAGGAGAGCTTTTGGTAGCGGGAACGGTGTCCATTAGTCATGTTCCAGTGACGGGTTCAACACAATCCGTAACCGAGTATAGCGCGAGATCGCACGCGAGGTGTCGCAGAGAGTCGCGTCGACAGTCCCCATTGGCTTGTCTGGGCGACCCACGAGCGCAGACAAGCCGACGTTACGAGCGGCTGCACGAGTCCGCGCCACTCTAGAGATTTAGTTGGGAGTCCGTGGACTTTTGACGCCCCACACGAGCGATGCTAGTGCACAACTGGCGTGGTCGGTGCAAAATCGTGCGGTGTGCAGTTCCACACCACCACCCCGAGCAATAAAAACCACTGCGGGACGACGCCTGAGAGATTCGAACTCTCGCGGGGAGACCCCATGTACTTAGCAGGCACACGCCTTAACCACTCGGCCAAAGCGTCCCGGTTGGCATCGACGCGCTTATATTAGATTTTATATTTGTGCTTTGGAGGTTTGAGCACGCTTTAAACGATCGCGATGCATATTACCCACTTATGAAAATACCTGTTTCGACATAATCGATAGAGTGAGGATTGTTCGCACACGACCGAATGTACTCTTTTATCTTTAATACTGGTTTGTCTTTTGGCCAAAATGATTCACAGTAATTTCAGTTTTACCTTGGACATGATAAACGGCCAACTAGTACGTCATTTTTCTCCTGCAATTGAGGCACTCGAAAGACGAATACCGACACGGACATCGCGATCAAATATTTCCAAAACATGATATTTTGGAACCCTCAAGGGTTCTTCCAAAGTTGTACTCAAAATTTTTTGATTGCCCAACATTAACCGAATCTCACATTTACACTTGAATTCTCAGATGATAAAATAGTTTCCAGATAAAGAGGAAACGAATTTCACCATCATAAACCTCTTGATGTAGCCGACACAGGATTGACGGCCACAACTACTAATCTGGGAAAGTAAAATGGTGTAAAAATTCCCTGCTCTTAATTCATCTGCACTAAGATATTTACAGTGGCTTCAAAATTGTAGGTGCTGCTACAAGATTATTTCTTCTTGTACTCTGTTAGCGTTCGCTGCCTCTTTGACTTTGGCTTCGGCTTTGGGGATGGCGGGGGCTCCCCGTCACTGCTCTCGGCAGCGATAGAAGCATCTGAATCTTCATCCAACTTTGCAGTCAGTTTCTCGTTTAAAGCATTCACCTGCTCTTGAGTTGGCTGCCCAGACCCGGCTGCCTTGTTAAGAGCAAACGCAGCTCCCATGCGATCACGACACTTCTTATTCGCAATGGCGTGATCCACCACTACACAGACAATTCCAGTTTGTCAAAAAGAAAGGCTACGTGCAAAATAACAGTCACGCTTTTGCGGAAAAACATGTCAGAAGGAAAGCATTAGACTGAAATCCGAAATGGCATGGGTGACATAGATACGAAGTTTTATAACAGTAAGCACTGACCAGGTTTGGGATAGTCTTTCCCGATGATGCAATTGGCCGCCTTTTGAACACTCAGAGGCGCTGTCCATGGTTCATATATGTACGCCTTCGGCATATCTGAGTCCCAAATACACAGATGTGAGAAAGTCAGATTTTTACAGTTCGCGGTGCGGAAAATCCAACAGAGAAAGTATGAATTGATATTAGCCCACCTTTGAGAACCGGTATGAAGTGTTTGATATAATTCCCCTCGGGATCATGTTTCTTCGCGAAAGTGATCGGTGAGTAGATACGATGATACTGAAATAACCACATCAGAGATGTCAAACGCGGTATTTAAGAACAATGTTTACACATTACAATGCATATACAGGTTTCCATAGACCATTCAACAGATACAAGGTAGACACTAACACTTAAATGAGGCTGACTATGAAGCGATTGCGAACGACTTGACATGACCCGCGATATTGATATGAGATGCTTGTGTACATCTTATCTACGCATACTTTTAAAACTGAGAAATTTTGCAAAATCTTTTGAGTAACAAGATATCATTTTAGGTACTATCATTTTAGCACCTGAGTGGTGTCGCAGATCACAAAGATAACGGACGCGAAGTACATACAGTGAACAAGAGATGACCAGCGAAGGCATCCAATTTCCAGGTGAACAACGAAATCAAAAGCAGAAAAGCAAAATCCATGCAGAGCGCTGTGGAGGTCAGACTGGTAAATGTAACAGGGTCCAATTGACCTTCCACAACATCTAAATATCATCACGCGACTCGACGGCGTCATCAATGAATGCCGGTGCATAGGTTTTCGCCAAATGTAGTGAGGCAGGAATACAGTCAGCAATAAACGAATGCATCTGCACACTACCTGGCAAACCCAGCGTATCCCATATAATAGGCAAGCCTAGGGCTGCCTGACGATGCAAGATATCTTCGTTGACATTCTCGATTTTCTTTATGATCTCACACTTACCGTTTGGCACCAAAGCAGATTATATGCAGAATACATATTTAGAGGACAGAGACAAGCTAGATTCGGTTAAAGTCCTCAAACAGTAGATAGGGTCTTAAGTTCCAGAAACAGAGTATCTCTACAATCCACAATCGAAAGGGGATATGCGAGAGGTATGGAGCACGTATGTATTCTTCTCGTCAAGTTCAAGGAAATAGTACCTGCGCGAAAAATGCGGAAGCCGAAAGCCACATCCAGTTTCCATTGTTGATGGCCCAATCGGAATCAACCAACAGCCTGTCGAATACGTCACGACCTTTCTCCCAGTATACGAACTGGTAATCAAGCAACAGTTGCATCGTTCAAAGAAGTCACGCCACAATAACTCAAATGTAGCACTGAAGTGCTCGAAGTACGATATTGTGAAGTTTCAGTAAGCACAAGCCTAGACTCGACTTCAATTAGACAGGCCAAGAGATGTCCTCACGATAGAAACGCCTCTACGACTAGGACTAGAGTGCAGCTACAGAAGTGTCTAGTATACTACATTTGACTTATTGCAATCAAGTCAAAGAACCAAACACATTTCAAAAGCCTTCAGCAGTAGGGGCTGTCTTCACTTTAAGATAAGAGAAGCAAATGAATAATGACTTACGAGATCTCCACGAGTCAGAAAACAGGCAACGGCATGCCGAGCCAAATGGTGCATCCATCCCCACTTCCTCAACTGCATAGTGATAAAACCTTTCATTAAAAAACCATACCATAACCTAAATTCAAGTCTCAGATGAGCACTACTACAAACGTAGATATGAATTTGATATGATTTGAATTTGTATGAGGAGAGGAAAGCAGAGGAAGGCGAGAACAAGAGCGTCAGACCAAGTCGACAAGATAAGGAGTCCCGAGGTGTGACCAACGATTTAGAGAATTATGGTTTCATGTGCCAAAAGGCACTCGGAAGTGCTTCTACCCATCATGTAGGCATGACGCGGTCTTCGAAATTTGAGGCAGAAGTCTGTCAAAAAGCTGCAAAAGAAATTCCACTACGTTACCTGGATCATTGCTGCATCAATCCATGGAAAGCCCGTTTGTCCATCCCTCCAACGGCTCAGAAGGACTTCATCGTCCTTCCACGGAATCTAGACAATATTACAAAGGCATCATAAGCTTTGCATTAGACGTCTGCCTACCGATATGTGCAAAGATCCGCGCATCAAGATTTCGATGACGTTCCTCAGGAGACCCAGTATCTGAGATAACGAAGAAACTCATACCTGCCTACAAATTGGATTGCCAACCATGCGATCATAGTTAATAGTGCCGTAGCCTACTGTGTAGAAAAACTCCCGCCACAGGAGCTGCACACAGAGAACTATGCATAATCAGATCTCAAGTCGAGATATATGTTCGCATTAACTTGTCAAGGTCGCTCTTGTGGTCCTGACCCAGGAGAAGTACTCAAAAGAGTTCTTCCAAGACACCAAATATCCACCATTTAGTGTACATACAATATTAAGCTTTTGGTCAACTTACTTGTCCTTCAAGGGAGACAGGTGGATGAGAGTGCTTCTTCATTTCCGAGTAGACGGTAAGCAATCGTGCGTAGAATAGCCGGACCGACACACATCCAAACTGCACATATGTCATTAACATCATCTTTAGAATCACATACCCTGTATTCCCTGCTGTGATTGCTTTGACACACAAGGGAATACATACTCGTGTAGTAGAATAACTACCTTCAGATACGGTGACAGACATGTTGTTGCAGGCTTGATAAAAGCAGTTGGATTTCCCTTCGGCTTCTCGAATTCGGCGACCCATTTCTATTAAAGTCCAACTCAGATATTGTCAACGAATACACGCAAACTTTCCCACAAGCTTTCCACAAGCGTGCTTAACCACCCCAAAACTGTCCATCCATGACAACAAAATTTACCTTGTCAGCTAACATTTTATCTAATCTCCTCAGTCCTTCAGTCTCTCCTCCACCGAACGGTGTGAATTCCTGAGAAAAACTTAACGTCAAGAGTTACTACACATGCACATCTTCCACAGTATGAAGGATCAGGAAAGCCGCTTTGATATCACTGACCTTTAATACAACATATATGGAGATAAGAAGTGATATCGGATAGACCAATTAAGCAAAGAAAGGACAGAAAAGCTAGACCTCGTTCAGATCTGCATATCCTAGGTCTTGAAGACTTGGTATAGGCACCACATCCACGTCCATCAAGTCCTTCGAAGGCTCCGGAATTGCAGCTGGGGCATCACCGACTGGCTTCGGAGGTTTTCCGAGAGTTCTACAAAATGCCTGATAAGTCAATGGTGGCTTGCCACCATTCTGTGAGGGTTGAAACGCCCAAGTGTTAGTTCCTCAGAAGATCATTTCCACCTCATGTACATTCGTAAGTGTGGCAAAAAATTGCACTAGTACATACAGATTTAAGCACAAATGAAGTTCATAGTTACCTACCTTCAAAATAGTCTCGGCGGGATTGAAAAGAGTATGACTCACAGGTGAGTGTAATTCTATACCACGCTCTTCACAGATTTCCTGCAATTTGTTGAATTGTTATTCGAATATCATCACCGCATCTCTTCTGTCTCGTACAAAAGACTTCTAGAGTGTATTTCAGGCTGACATGTGAGATTAAGAAGAGGTACAAACAAGCAAACTAGTTTTACTCGGCAATAGCTTTGCTAGGAATAGTACCTTGATTCTCTTATCTCGATCCTGGGCGTATGGTTCCGTGTCGTGCTCAAAACATAGTCTTTTTATGCTCCACTGCAACGGAGACAAATAAAGAAGTTAGCGTATGCTGGCGAACAAAACAGTACATACTTGGTTTATCAGTAATTTATAGAAAGAGTAAGTTCATTAAGAAGCAAGAGAACCACTTTCTAGAATAGAAGGAACGAAATACAACTGTCTCTTGGGATACAGGATGGCGTAAACAGCAGTTCAGTAAGCTCTTAAATGTGGCAATTTCTTCAATGATCAGAAACTGATAGCAGTAACAAATTCTAAATAGTTGGATAGAGTCTAGAACCGGTTCATACTCCCTTCAACAAGGAATTTCCGAGCTGCAGCTGATATGAACCGCTCATGCGTGACACTCCGTGTCTCGACGACCTCCCGAGAAGATAAGAACTACATTAAGCAAGTCCACAACATCCAAATTGACCTTGTACTGTGACATATATGACGAGGTTTAAACAAGGAGAATTGTATCAAGGAGGACTCGTACACGTAAGTTGCAGAAGAACAAGTTTTCTCTTAAGTACCTTTTCAAGAAGTTCGGGGATAACTTCGGTGGGATTTCCATGCACCAAGAATAACTGAGAGCCGCGAGACTTCAGGCTTGAGTCCAGGTCTTGGAGGCTCTGGAGCAGAAAATGTATTCGGTTCACTCCAGCGGTCCTTGAGCCAGGAGAAGGTGCAGTGGGATCTGGAGCTAGAAAGAAGGGATCCAACACGAAAACGGGAAAAACATGAGACGCGTCTTCGCAAGCTTTATGCAGAGCAGGATTGTCGTGTAAGCGCAGCCCCTTCCGAAACCACATCAAAGAATGCTGTCCCATAGTTCTACTTTCTCCGACTCCGCAAAGATGCCTCGCCCGACTCACAGAGGTGCGGATTCTAATTCTTGACACTGCAAAAGGTGGCAGAATAGTCGTGCACTTTAAAACCAAAGGCATTTGCTGCACCGCCGAATTTAACCAGAAATCTTGTAAATTGATCCCCCTCTCTGTAGATCATCAATTCGATTCAAGCAGTCCATTCAAGCAGTGCTTCTGTCACATCTTCCACGAATCAGCGACTGGAATAATCTTCTATATATTAATGATCCTTCATAGCAACAATCCTCCAGCTGCTCCCGCGTACAAATCAATGTGCAAATGTTTCTAACACTACAGCGCGCCGAGTCCTCAGTTGCGGAAAAATACTTCGACCGTGCCCGGCGCAACAACAGACTCCCGCAAAAACAACTTCCCGATTTTATCGACAAAACGGAACGATGGAGCTGGCGAAATTCGAATTGGATAAAAGTCACCACATCCGGTGTCATGAGAAGGCAGGCCACACTGAGCACCATCTCGAGCGTCGTGTCCGACCATCGGATTGAAGGCTGGGGATCTTGCATCGTGGCACATGCTGAACGAATGAAGATTCGTTCTTCACAACACCTGATTAAGATTAGGAAACCGCAATTAGTGCGTCGGCCTGTCAGTGTAAGAAGCGCCTCGTACTCGTTCGATTTGGGGATTGCTCTCTTCACGTACTTTCAGGGTCTCCCTGCTCCTTCGATGGCGACGCGAACGCCAAGTACTCGACACTAAAAAAAGCCAATCCTAGAGAGTGGACTCTTGGATCGGCACGTTTCTTAGGCTAAGACGAGTGGGACGTTCCATCCGTCATGACACTTTTCCGCGACGCGTCTGGGGCGTGGGTCGCAGGAACGTACGAACTCGATTTTGGTGAGCTCCAGAGTCTCCGGTCGCCGGGGAAGCAAAAAATCGGCGAAAAGGCCGGCGGCTGAAGACTTCGTAAAAGCGGCGGTAAGTGTCCCGGCAACGGTGATAAACCGCCTGAACTGCGGTCTAAGTGTGGTCACGCCGCCGCGATGCGTCGCTACAAACGCCGAGAACCTGGCTTTGACTTCTGGGTCCTCGAGGCATGCTCCTGGTTCAGTGCGAATGGAACTCCGCCGGGCACCGCGAAGTCTACCGTGGTGAACGGTGGATGCAAACCCCGCGTGCAGTTACGACCAAACTACTTGCCCGTGCTCAGTGAGGAATCACTCGCAGCGGACAGGGAGTCTTATCGTCGACCGTGAGCCAAATCGTAACTGGATCAAGAAGAGTGCGCGACACTGCCTCGGAAAATGAAAAATGGACAGTCTCCCAGTCCCCCCCCTGCAAGTGCTGGCTATCCGCGCGTCAGTTGCTCCTGAACATACGAGCTGTGCGAAGGGATTCTGATACTGGTCACAAGTTTCAACTGGAGAACTGGAGCCAGGAGTTGAAATTGCTGCTCCGTCCGCTTCCGGCAGGTGTCGGAGCATCCCTGCGCTCACAGAGGTCTGTGTTTCTCGGCTGTCGCTTTCGACATCTGTAGTGCATTCAAACACATCGTATGGAGATTTCAACCTCATTCTGTTGTAATTTCTGTTTTCGGGATTTCACAACGCTTTTGAGAGATTTTGGCTCTGAAGAATTGTGGTTGCTCTTCTCATCGTGATTGCGGTGGCTGATCGGGGGGTTTGTGCTCGAATGAATAGAAATCCTTGCACAAACAGGACCCTGCGTTCCTTGGTCGATGAAAGGAGCGAATTGTCTCTCGTTAGAAATCGTTGCCAGAGATTAAGCGGAGGAATTTGAATCGAAGTGACGTGAAGGAATATCGAGCCGACTGTTTAGGAAGAAGATGCGAAGGAAAGAATGCCCAGAAGAAGACTCGCGAAAGGAAAGCGCGACGCAAGCCGCTGTCAGTAATTCCGTTTGTGATACTAAGAGGACCCCTCAACCATCCTCTGCGCAAGCGAAGATGCCGCCCAAAGATAGCAAAATCTCACGGCCCGCGCAAGGGCAAGTTCGCAAGAGGCGCATACTTCCTAAGGCTCTACCGATTGAAGGAATGCGGGAAGCGGCTCAACTAGCTCGCAGTTATATTCGGGCTATAGAAACGCAGAATCAAGAGAATCAGAGGCAAGCTTCCGATGTATTCGCGTCACGAGTTATGGCCATCCCTTACGAGCATCTCCTACAATATCCGGGATCTATGGTAAATGCTCACTCCAAACCTTTTCCCCAAGACCTGTCCCTCATGAATCAGCTACACGCAAATGGAACTGTGCCTGCTCACCTGCTTTGTGCTGGTGCTATGACCGTCAACAAGCGACCATTCTTGGCAAATGCTGCCGAAGAATCAAGACTGAAACGTCTCAGGAAGATCGTCAATTCGACGACGCTTGAGACGCTGGGGCATCAAGCGGCTATAGCCAAATATGGGGGAAATCACAGTTCTCCATTGCTTCCATCTCCTGCTGCGGCTTACAGCGTCCTTGACTTGAGACACGAGGACCCTAATTTCCACTTTCATCAAAAACCTCTTTCCGCCCATTACTCCAGCGAACCTCCCTCTCCCACACCCCGCAAAGCGTCCACGATGAGTAAGCTCAGTCCAGACATGAGACTCGACAGTTCAGCCTTTCCTACTTCAAAGAATCTGGAAAGTTCTGGCGGGTTTTGTAGCTCCGAGGCGAAGCAGATGTCAAAATGTTCACAAGTGCCCAGTTTACCGAAAAGTTCTTCGGAAAGTCATCGCAACTCTATTCTTCAACCCCCCTTCAATCTCGGCTTTGCTCAGTTTGACGGATTTCGTAGTGGGATTTCGCTTCACCCTCAAAACAGCAACCTGAATGCCGTGCGCTTGGAGACCAGATCACACTCTTTGCCATCACATTACAACGGTGAGCATAATTCACAGCTGATGACTGATGCTGCCTATCTCAGTCAAGTAAATCATGTTGGTAGTGAGATGCCAGTAGGACTTGCTCACCTCCGCAGGCCAGAGTTGGCCACTTATCTTGGTAATCTGACCGCATTACGGAATCTTCCGCACCATGAAGGCAGCGGGCATATTGGTTCTGCACAGAATCTAGACAATGCTCACCGATCGAACTCCTTACACGGCAATCCATCTGCAGGCATTCTGCCACTTCCAGGGAGCGCTGAACTTAATGGGAATGGCAACAATATGAACGCCCTCGCCTATATGCATCAGGACGCCGGTATTCTTCCCCTTCCTGGCAGAGCAGAATTGGCCCAAATTGCTTCACTGCAGCAGGGAATTGCTGCTCACGCATTCGGCAGCAGTCAGTATGCTCTAGGACAGGCACTTCAGCTCCAATCTCTTCCAATGCAAGGTGACGTTGCTTCTCTGCAACACGAGCTTTCTGGTCAGAGATATTCTGGTGGGCAACAACCGCTCTATCAGTCTCCTCAGATGCAAAATCACCTGCAGTATCTCACCCAAGACCATTCAGCTCAACGAAGCTTGGGGAATCATCACCAGCTCTTGCCACCTCTTACATTTCAAACTGACCTGGCTACTCTGCAACAGGACCTTGCAGCTCAACAGTACAACGCCGGTCATCAACCCTTCGTATTGCAAGGAGACTATAATGCTTTGCAGCAAGAACTCTGTGCACAAAGAATGCAGAACTCTCTAATGCACCCTCTGCCGCTGCAAACCGACTTGGCCTCTTTCCAACATGAGATTCTTACCCAAAGACTCCATGCTGGCCAGCTGCAGTGTCTGCAATCTTATCCCATTCATGGTAATCTGGCATTGTTGCAGCAAGACATTGCCGCTCATGGTTTGAGTGGAGGACATCATCCATATTTGCAGTCTTTGCCTGCGCATGGTGAGCTCAGTGCGCTTCAACAGGAACTTGACTATCAGAGGTTGAACGGTGGTACGCATCCTCTTGTGCAAGCTTCATTACAACAGCTCTCGGCTCAAAATTATAATGGTGGTCAGCATCCTCTACTCCAGACGCTTCCTATGTAGATATATTGTAAAGAGAAGGTATTTCAGTCGTGTACTGCCTCGCTGCTTGTCCAAGAAAATCTTCGACGACTAGTTTTGGAAGTGCTGAGTAAGGCTGCAATTAACATCTTCGGCACCCAACAACAATGTCGAAATGATCTTGAAGGTAATTATGCTATGTTGTCTTCGGAATGATCAAATTAATCACAAAGGTCCTGCAGTTGTAATAATAAGACTTTTCCAATTTATGATTTATAATAATTTCACAAGCATGTTCTGCAAGTGAACTCATCGTGCTGAAACAACCCATGATTCATCCATTGTAATGACCAGGGCAATTTCAGAAGATGACTTGCTCTTAGCATTGTTCTGCCCTTCCAAGTATACTTGACTTCATTTATTGATAAGTGTAATCTTTTCGGTTGTGCTGCGCATTGACAGAAGTTGGTTATCGGAGAACCTCCATGAACTTTAACATGTGCAGTAGTACTTCACGATCAGATGTTTTCATCTTAAACACAAGGTTTCATTTATTGTCTCTTCTTGTATGTATATCCTCTCGAGATCTAGAAATCAATTGTCTTCGAAATCCAATCTGTTATGACAAGTTGGCCAACTTTGAAAAACTGCCACTCTTAGCTGGTCCGATTTACAATAGAACGAATCAAACCGCCGATCCACATGCAATCAACATAGTCCAAACCGCATTTGAGAAGTTGATCAACGGTAGCATATGTCTTTCATATTGAGAAGCTTCCGAGATCATTGGTACATCTTGATGAAAATGAGGAGAATATATCATCACAGTAAACAAATTGAATTTAATATGTAAGATTTAGGGATACTAGAGACAATTTTCTGGATTGTGCCAGAAATTGCTTATAAATGATAAATTGTCCAGTTCAATGGAAATGAAAATTATATCAGTAGATTATTAGTAATTTACTGTGTTTTGGATAATCAAAATTACTCATTGCAAAGTAAACTAAACATATGTAAACTGATAAAAGCACAGAATAAAAAAAATCAAAGGGAAAAAGGCACTATTAATTTTACTATTTCAATGTAAAAAACGTATGCTCCCAATTACAAATTTTGATTCCATGAATTAAAAAAAAATTAATATGCAAATTTCATTATGTTCTAAACATTGTTCTTAAATTTATGCATAAAGAATTTCTTAAACAGAACACATGAATCTCAAAATTTAAGATTTCATCGATCATGAATTCAAATTTCTAGGTTTTCTAGTAGTTTATTCTTTATTGTTAAATTTAATTAATACTGACTTGAAGAAAACTTATCTATGTTTATTAACATAAATTTTTTATAGAGTTTCTAAATTACTCCAGTCAGCTCATCAACAATAGCCTAGAAAGAATTACGGTAAATGGTAATAGATGTTTATAATACTTATTTCTAAAAGGGCTCATTCTTCATTTTTCCTCTCTATAGGTTGATCAATCATGTGTTTTATCAATGCGTTTACAAGATCATTTGGGTAAGTATAAATTTTCAATCTCAGTTTCTTTGACAAGCTACTTTAAGAAACTATATCTATTCATATTTTATCTACTCATATTTAAAATGACAGATAGGTAAAAGAATATACACTCAAAAAATAAAAATTCAAAGATTCCAGCTGCTTGATTTGATAAGCTTGAACAGGTTATCTACAAATTTTAAGAAATAAGAACCATGGGTGCACATCAGCACATATTCCTGTTTCGGTGGTAGATGGAAAGACAGTCCAGGAGGGTCTTGCGATTATAGAATGATCTGAGAGAATTGATAACGGAGAACAAGAATTGCTTCTGTGAATACTTTTCATGGTTAGTGGAAATACTTCAAGCTTTCAATAAGGCAACTTACATGTGCTATACTCAAAATTCCCTCCATAATCAGTGCGGCTTTGAGACTGATCTGTAGCAGTAAAGCATTCGATTGATATTAATGCTTGTCTAATACAGAAATTTGGAGAGTCCACATATACTATGGATATTTTATTATTCCCACGTTATCGTTTTCTACTATCGTTCTTCTTTAGCCTGCAAGAATTTTTCAAACAGAAAGAGTGATATGATTAGAAATTATCAAAAAAATTTGCTCAATTTTGAGAAATTATTTTTATGGTTCCACGAATAAAAGCAATGTGAAAACTAAAACAAGGATTGTAACGTATTTGATTTTGAATGCGAATTTGATTTTATCGCATATATTTTTCTGCTCTGAATTTTAGAATACGTCGTCTTAAAAACTTAATTGTGAGTGAAAAATACATTGTGTAATGTATTTTGCACAAAGAATTCATAGAAAAGTATGCATGTTCTAGCATGGAAAAGAACGCATGTATGTTTTCGAAATTCTCATGACGACATGAAGGACTTGAATTTCAAATAATGTACCGCAGCTGGCTACCGTCATTATGGTATACTGGGTCCAAACAGATCCTTATGGCGCGGGCCGGATACTACTGAGTCCAGAGTCCATATTCGTAACTTTAGTCCCTTGATCAACAGGCTATCAACGCTCGCAGTCTACCAACAGTTATTTAAACAACGATCTTTGTCCCAACTGCAAGTCCCCAGTTGCAGAGCCAGAGCCAGACAGCTTGACAAGTTGACAGCTCCGTTGCTGGCAACAGCTGGACATCGTGGATGTACCCAAAAGCCCGAACAACGTCAGCTTGTTTGGTACCACGCCATATATATATCTGATGCAGTTGGAGGGCAAGCAAAACTACATTGTACAAGAAGAGATAGCATACGGGCCTCTCTTATTCAATTCCCCTTGTAATGACGCAGAACTTGATTTAGACCTTCACCCTGCAAAACCGAAGCCAGGACAGTAATAGAACGTGATACTCTGTCACAAAAACGATGCAAACAGTATTGTTCAACACATTACCTCTCCAAAGTGTTGGAAAGGAGATAACTTCGTGATTGCCAGAATAGATTGCATATTCTTTAAGATCCTTAATAAATTAACAGATTAGTGCAGAAATTTAGCTCAGGTCAGCGGAAGTTGTAGGTTAGCCAGTGGTGTGGAAATTGAAGCCAGTTCATGATCTCATTGATACCGATGTATACATAGGGCTTTTATAAAACTCTCAATCGACGAACTGAGAGGAGGGTAGCAAACTTGGACTACGAAGCATCAAGAAAATGGAACGAAAGCGGCATAGAAGAAAGAGTGTTCCCATCTACAGGGTGATGAAGAATCAAGAAGAGACTGGCAGCTCTCTTCGACAACTACATTCAACATCAGGGAAAGCCGTTCTGCGGTCTCTGGTGGAACCTAAGATAAAGGGAAAAGATCTGCTTGAAGATGATGTGAGCTCTGTCGAGGATGAGAAGAACAAACATGAGGAGATATGTGGAATATGTCTCAATGGAAGAGGTAACGAGAAAGGGAGTTTGGATTGCTGCAAACACACCTTCTGCTTTCAGTGCATTATGGGTTGGGGGAAGAAAGAGACCAAATGCCCCATATGCAAACAGCGGTTTCTCACAATCACTGTCATGACATCTTCAGTAGCGGACTCATCATCTGGCCATCACCAAGCGCAGAAAACATCATTCCGTCTTCCTCAACGAGACCTGTTGGAGAAATCCAAGAGTAACTTGCATCTCGCAGTCACCAAGTCGGGTTGCAAGAGCCTTAGCATGTACGTGGAAGGTTGGAATGGCAAGTCCAAACAAGAAGAAAACGTGATGCTTAAGATGGAACTGGTTTGTGAAAAATGTGACACCTTCGTCCTTGCCAAAATAGAGGAGGTTGTCAAAGTTGGGCAGCTTATACCTTTACCTCTGAATCACGGGTCATGGGCATGTGAAGTTTGTTCAGGCACGCGTGCGACAAAATTAACGACACTGGACGAGGACCTAGACTTTGACTTCGAAGTGACGGACAAACCTTTCAGGCGGATATGTCAGTTTCCCAGTGACAATGTGGGTCTGAACTCCCTGATCACCGTATCACGTTCACGACGAGCGCGACCATCCAACCCGCTTTGCCAGGTATCGTCCTCGTTTTCTCAAACTACGTGCACTCGTGATCAGATTCCATCACCATCCCTCCCCGAGATGATAACCAGGTCAGCACCACCACAGTGAGGACTGGGGGACAGTGCAGTAGAGCACTGTTCGCTTGTCAGCCTTGGCCAACGTCAGAGCAGAAGGAGGGTCACAACGCTGTACGATGGCAGTTGAGAGAAGTCGGGGTTGGGCTCGGCGATCGATGGGAAGGGCCAAATGACGTGGACAGAGAGCGGAGGCCAGAACGGGAGATTTGACACTTTCACCAGGTTAGTAATGACTACGATACGCACTCAGAGTACGTAGTACGTAGACCCGTGCGATACACCACAGCAAGGGATACGTGCCCCATGTTATGAAGACTAACGAGAACAATCGTTCATTAAGTGATTTGAGACAATACAGCCTGATAAGGCAAACTTCTTGTTTTGAGCCGTTGAAATCTATCTCACAAAGAGCACTCTCATTATTGCAAGCTACTTATTCAGTCAAATGAATTTTTTATGAAATGATTATTTTTGAATCATCAATGAAGCCGGATTTATCAATCTATGCTCTAAATACTCTGCCAAACAAATCCACCGAGCAAACCAACCTGTTTTTGTTGAAGTCAAATCTACTTGGTACAGGAGCTCATTCGATTGCGAATCTGAATTATGTAAATAAAAAGAGGTGTGAGTTTTTTTTATTTAAAATGATTTTTTGGGTTTTGGTTATAAACTAGTATTGTCTAATTGATGATATTGAAAAGGAAAAGATGTTATCAATAATCCATAACAAAGCACGGTGTAACCTCACATTTTTTTTATAGAATGCACAAGACCTGATATTTCTCTAACTTTGAACAAAGTATAAAAATATATTTCAAATATCTGAAGACTATTAAAGATGATGATGTATTGATATAATGTTTATAATCCATTGTCACATTCTTGTTAGGTTATGTTGATGTTGACTATAAATAATATCTGGACAAGAGGAAGTCTTGATTTGTTATATGTTTACACTTGATGATGGCAGATGCATCAATTGGAAATCTATTCTGCAAAATTCTGCAGTTCAGTCCCCGATAAAAGTTGAATATGTAACAACAACAAAAAAACAACAAATGGTTCTATTTGATTGAAAAATTTTCTTGTTAAAATCTTATTGAAACAAAAAATTGTCAATCTTTATTGTGATAATCAAAGTATGTTATATCTTGCTACAAATCAAATGATGAACAATATAGTGAAACAAAATAATTTATCAATCTAATAGATACATTAACCAAGATTATTATTTTCAGTAGCCTTAGTATACATTGTGCTACTATGCAAGTTTCATAGAATGATTGCATGTAAAGTTTACTAGCACTTTTTATTACTTTTATATATTGTAACTCTAACATATTTTAGATATGGTTTGATTCTAGTTTAAAGCTACTTTTATTTTTATTACTTTCTTGAAAATTGCGCTGATTTATCATATGTGAAATTGAGTTTATTCAACTCATGACATGAGTTAAGGTAGTTCTTGTTAGCAATAACTTAAAAGTAAACTCTTTAATCCAAGTTTATGGTTTTTCTTAGGTTTATGATTTTTCACTACCAACTATATCAGATAATAACTTTGAAAATTATTTTAGCTTTTGTCAATAAATCTGTTATTTTGGGCATGATCAAAGTCAAATCACGTATTATTTGCTTTGAATATGCATGCATGTATTTTCTATATTTACTTGTGTTTTGTTCATAGATTCTTGATTTTTTATCAAAAAACTTATGACTTGATTTTATCTTATTTTCATCAAATGAATATTTATATTGCTTTACTCTATAATAATTTAGATTTGGCTATGTTCATCACTATGCTTTGATTTTTGTAAAATTAAAACCAAAAAGTATAATTTGTAGATTTTTAAGATCATTGTTTGAATCAAAAAAAATTTATAAAAATCTATGTGTATTATATATATATATATATGAAAAGGTTAGTCATTAAGCTTTTGACTTCATTATTTTAACACTTTATGCAAATGACTTCTTTGTTATAACTTAAAATTAAGTGTTTATTGCAACTAAACATTTATTTGATGTTGATAAATTCAAAGTTGATCTTACTTATAACCTAACGTTGAAAAACATTTTGTGTACACCAGTGGAAAAATTCTTGAAAATAAAGAGTTAATAACTACTTAACTGATGAAAAAATTTGATGAACACATGTTTGCTATGAAAATATATGCAAGATTTAATATAGAATGTTTTCAGTCAATGAAACTTTTTGAAGTTCATCTATTCAACCTTTTAATAATTTTTTGTTCAACATATGATATGGAGAAAGCTATGATGTTCAACATATTCTATAACAAGATAGTAAGAAGTTTTATGATTTTATTAACTTGTCTTAACACCTGAATAAATAAGTTGAATATCAGAATTGCATAAATCTATAATTCAAAGTATATAGCAAGGAATTAATTTGATTGGGCATGCTTGCTATAGAGTTGAATGTATGATCATATAAATTTTCAGTATGACAAGGAAAGTTTATTTATAAGCTATGAATTTAATGAATGAATAATAAAAAAATTCATAGAGCATTTATTTACTATAATATTCAAAAAATACAATTTTTTAATGATATTGTAAATAAATCAAAATTAAAAATAACTTGATTTTTTGATAAAATATTTAAATTATCTTTTTAGTTTTCTAATGCATATCGTCATGTTGCAACTTTTACACATGATTATACTTAAGTTTAATTTTAAATCTCTGCATAGCATTGCACCCTATATTTTCTTATGGTTTTGTGATTTCATTGCTAATACACATTCAATTTTAACTTTAATGTCTTCTTGAAAATTCATTATGAATTTGAATTGATATTAATTTAAACTCTAATCTGTTGTTGACAGTCTTTTACATAGTCTTTCCACTCATCACTTGATACGTCTCTTCATTGCTAGAACACATTTTCACACAAAGATTTAATCAAAATTTCTTTTATAACTAAAAAGATATATCTAAAATATTTTTTAAAAAAAATTTAAAATATTCATTCTAAATATTTAAAAATGGTTGTAACTATGAATGTATATTCCGACTTACAAAATGATATATATTTTGATTTTTCAATGCATTTATAATAGGTTTACAAATTTTTTTATGGAATTGAAGTACATATTTATCATTTCTCATCCATATTATATTTTATGATAATTTTATTCATTTTTGTATGAATAAAATAATACAAAGTATAGTTTTAAAAGAATGGCATTTGCATTAATGATAGCATCAGTTCACATCATACTTAACTCTCAGAAGTTCACATAGTTGATTTTGCTAAACAAATCTCACTTGCATATGTTGAATACCATAGTATGAAATGCAAAAAGAAATTCCCTTTACCCTGATTACTAGTCTGAAGCTTTGATGAAATCCTGAGTATGAAATACAATTTCTTTTTACTTTACCCTAACTACTAGTCTGAAGCGTATGACATGACTTTTTAATAAAATTTACATGGAATGGTTTATCAAGATGACCTGGTTTCAAATAATATTCAGACTCTTAACTTTGACTCTAAACATTTGTCATCTGCACGCATCCATTTGCAAGGATAGTGTATAGCAAATTGCATTGACGGTTGATTTCAAAATTTAGTTACTTTCACAGTGCTATATTTATGGATCGACGGGTTTGGGAAATGGACTCTTTGGAATAGGATGCGGAAACCAAATCGACTCGGGTGCAAACCAAACGGACACTAGAAACAAACCAACCAATCGGCCTAATGAAAGAGAATATAGTGATGTTCTATGGCACTGAGCAACTAAACAAGGAAAAAATTCCGATTATGTTATCATTAAGCATTCAGTTTACCCTGGAGACTCTCGCTTGGGTTGATAAAATTTGTAATTTGTAACTAGTAAATTTGAAAAATGTTATTTGTAATTCATAATCCATTGTCGCCTGTAGACCCTGACATCTACTTCCATGGAAGAACTTGAATCAAAACAAATTTCAAGGGGTCGGAAGTTTTGAACTGCCGTGAAACCTGTAGGAGATTCGGTCTTCACGGTAAAGCTTAATCAAGTGCGGTAATGCGCGTCCATATCCCCCGCTGAAGTTTTCCCGAGAATGAACTGGACTCCTTAGTGACAACCTCGAAACCCCTCATTTCTCGACCGTCGAGATGATACGCCTATGTATATTACTTAGTTGTCCATTACTAACACCATTATTTATTAATAATGGTGTTTCAAGAAATAAGTAAAGTTTTTCAACTCCCACAAATTGCGCAACAGCAGTGTACAATCGAATCCAGTACTTTGTCTCATGGTGTGTAAGGCGTACTTCGCAGACCCGCAGTACTTCGGCTGGATCTTCTGGGTGCTGGCTTCAACTTGAGAGGCTCCAAATGCCCTCTTATAGCGTCTTCTTTGGGTTGCACCAACCGTTCCTCATCTCTCTTCGTCACTACAGTTAAAATTGACTCGCTTTTAGACTCCCCATTGGCAAGAGGCTCGCTTGTAATATTCCCAATCGCTATAGGCATGGCTCCAAATTCGTCCCCTATATCCATATCCAGGAAGTCCTCATCATCTGATTCAAAATGTCTAGATAATCTTTTCCTCTTGAGACCATCAATCTGTGCTCCTCTCTCTCGATCTTTGACCGAGAGCTCGATCTTCAAAACATCTCCCTCACCATGGAAATGATATGGAGCTCGGAACGAGAAAACTCCTAGATCGGTATACACTAGTTCCTTGTCTATAATTCTGTAAAGATCGAGCTCTATCTTTTTCTGTAGCAGGCGACAACGAGCAGAGAAGCCTTCCTTCCCTGGAACTCGCAATTTCGCTTTTTTTGTATTCACAGAGCTCTCGAGCACATAAACAAGATAGCGGCTTTCAGTTCCACTATCATAGACGGACCAAACTTCGCCCTTGGCAGGATAGATGAAAATTAGACCATGATCTACTTTCAGGAGACTAGTCACTTGATGAGAAAATGCAACCCACGACCCCTGTACTTCAATACCTTCCGACACAGTATACAGACCACAGCCTCTGATTGTACTCCACAAATCCAGCTGTCCAGCTTCGTAAGGTTTAGTTAGCTCCAAAAATCTGCACTCGATGCGAAGAGGAAGACGAGAACCTTTCTTTCCTCGTTCGTTTACGTTTAGATCGAATCGCTCACCGGATCGACTCACAATCTGTACATACCAGTTTGGCCGTTGATGGATGTTGTACATCGCCCAAATCTGTATTGAAAAGAAAACAATCAGATAACCGAGTCAGAATTTGACGCACAAGAGTGAGCTTAGAAGATGAGTTCCGATCCGGCCTTCTCGAAGGCGATTCGCAACAATACGTGACCAATTAGCGTCTGAAGACTCTGCTCTGCCCCTAAGATTTAGACAGCATTGCCATGCTAATTAACGATGATGGATTTCAGCCTTTCTCGAGAACTTCGTGACCTTCTGATTCGATCCTATGTCCTCACTGGATGTTCTCCACTGCTCTAACTTGTAGTCTCTTCAATGAAGAACAAATTTCGTTTGGAAGTTCACCTCGCCTGGAGACATGACGGAGCAGTCTGCCTCCCGAACCGACGCTGGAAGATGGTATTTCCTGGTCTGATCTCGGATGTCAGCATCTAACAGGGGGCTCAAGAGAAACGATATCACCGGAACTGAGAACGAGTTGCCCAATAGCCGCCATCTGGTGTTTCGGTCAACCCCTCCCTCCTTAATTTCGGTCTCTCGACGCCTCTGAATTTTTGCCTTCGGTTTCTGATCATCAAACTTCACGTTGGTGTAGTGCGGGGGGTATCCCATCATTTGTTCTACTTCCACCACGTTGATGTAGCGAGGCTTGTCGATACGAAAGTCGTACACTAGTTCCATCAGGGCTTTAGTTGCACCCTGTAGACCATTTGAGGATAATACACACATGTTTTTCTTCGCCAGAGAAGCGCCCCCTTGAACGACGCTCTGGATAGAGGTTGCCTCATTATCTCCGATGCGGGGACAGGTCTTAGGATAGGGTATGTTTGACCAGTACAGGCGCCTCCGTTTACAAGGGCTGAAGTTCTGAGAATCGATCTCCAAGGGAGTGGTACTCAGATGCTTTGAGATTTCTTCGCGATCCACCCAACTCATAGAGGCTACATTTTCCGCAAGAAACCTGCAATGCAGCCGAGTAAAGGAGGCCGTCATTTTCTTGGATACATGCCGAAGATCGATTTCAGATTATCTGTCCAGTTGAGTCAGATGCATACAGTCAAAAAATGCATCGAAGCTGGACGCGTGAAAAACGAACCATGTTGGGCTGAATGTTTTAATGACTCGTAGCATTTCAAAGAAAAGTCGGCTTCGACTTCCGTGTAGCCCCAGTCTCGCTCCCATGGAGGACAAGTCCTGACAAGGAAATCCACCCACAACAAGGTCTATCTTCTCTTTTATGTCTGCTTTTTTCAGTCGATGGATATCTCCCAAATGACGAACAGAGCAGTAATTTCGCTGGGTCACTTTCATCGCATCGGCGTTCACCTCACAGCTGTACCCGATAAAAGGAATGCCAAGATTCTCGAGAGCCGCCCACACTCCACCGATGCCATCGAATAAGCTGAGAACCACCAAAGGTTTGCTCCTCCAGAAACCGGCCTTTTGTCTAAGTTTTAATACCCACCTGTCACCCCCGCAATTCGAGCAGTCTATTGATTTCTCAACGCCACAGTGAGCTTCGTCATCGCCATCATGACGGTTCCCGTTTTTCAGCAAAGATTCAGCTTCGGCTCGGAGATTCCTTATGTGATTTAGGACTTTGTCCATGTTGAGGATGGAAGAGCTTCTCGATGACCGAACTTCAGTAGAGCATGATGCAGCTTAGTCAACAACTTTCGCACCGGAATAAGGTTCCTGAAGCCCACAATCTGGACTACGCTGTCCGAGTCCAGGTCGGCTTTGCTGCATCCGGTTAGCGCCACCTTTCAGACTACCTCTAACCGAATTGAACATCGACTCTTCTCGACCATCGATTCTATCGTCGGAAATCGTGGTACCCATGGCAGGATGCTTCGACCCCATCTTGCAGACTGCGCGAAATCAACCCCGCCGATCGACATAAGCTGCGAGAGGAGCGGACGCAATTTGCAGTTTCCACTGTCACGAACCCCATCTCTACACAAAGTCCCCAACAATCATTCGGAGGACCCAGCGGGCCATCTCTCCCCGCAGACGAAGAAAGTCATAAGGACCCCATCTCAAGAACGGGAGACTTTCGCCCTCGGGATACCACACCCGACCCGAACCACGGACCGAAGCTCGAGCCCAATTTCTCCAAGCGAAGCTACGTCGACACTCCAGAGCGTCAAAAAGGACATCGCCGAGGGCCGGGATGTACTTCCGAGTATTATTAGTTCGACATCCGAAAGAATCGAGCATGTGCCGAATCTACGGCTTAAACTGCTCTTCACAGAGGGGAAAAACACGGTCGTGCGATCTCGATGCCCCTGTGACGCCCATCCGATGCAAGTGGATACGAGGAGGGCTCGACGACGTCGTCGAAGTCCGTCCATTATCTCAACTCTCGTGCGCTTTCCACTTCAACGGCCCCCCGGCTTTAGTGCGCAGTAAAATTTATGCTTCAGTAACAAACTGGAAGCCCCTTCTCTGTCGTCGTCCAATGAGAGCACGAACTACCATTTGAGGGAACTCGATACGATCTTGCCACCTGGTGGACGGGAGTTTTAAGCGCAATTTTTCTGAATTCGAACTAGCAAGACATTATAAGTGTATATAAAAACTTTATCCAAACATGGAAAGGGGTTAACAGTTAACCCTTTCATCTATCCAGTTAACCGTTAACTGGATAGATGAAACCTTGGGAAGAATCCGAACACGGAAAACACAAAAAATGTTCACGAAAAAATATGTTGAAATTAGTTACATGCCCGGTTGTCGCAGGGACATTGAAGCGTCGTTGCTCATCGAAAGCAATCGAGTTTAAAATACTCGAAGAATGGGCTCGGCAGACGACCAATAAGCAGGACTCTCTAGATACGGAACTCAAGAGTCAGATTGACGTTTGATTTCGTTTTCAGAAAGTTCCTTATTTCCAACAAAGAGTCTTTGTTATCCAGTTGGCTTTGCTAGAGAAAGTGAGGGAGTCATTCACCCAAAATTTTGAGATGACTGTTTGTGACAATTTCATTGTTGATCAACTAAAACTTTATGGTTATTTCTCATGAGTTTAACCAGACAAATTCTAGTATTTTGTCATCTTTCTAATTTTCAAACCTAAAAGTTAATGAACTTTTAGGTTTGAAAATATGAGAAACTATTACTACAATATCACGAAAGTCCCAAACTTTCTCGGGAACAAAATTACATAGATTAAATAATGGAAAAACACAAAAAAAATTTGGTTTTTAAAATGAGAGCATTACCAAGTCAATGTTCTCGGTTCCCAAAAATCTGATGATTTAACATTCCAATTACAGGTATTAAAAATAGATTCCTTCAACTCATGCAGTTTTTTGGAGTATTAGTTTGACCAAAAGTGATTTCTCAGTGCTGAAATGATAAAAGTCTATTCACAGATAAAAAATAACACTCATCTCTCTCTCGAATATATGTTATTTTGTCCCGTCAAATTCGGCCCAAAACATGAGAGGTTTCTGTCAAGTTCCGGATATTATTTATTTTGATTTGAGAATTATCATTATTTTGTTGAGACACGTAACATTCGGAATCCGCCATATATAAAGAGGCTGCCAATAAGTAACTAATTTGATACTAGTTGAACCATAGCACCTTCGATGTTACCTAATAATTTCGAAAAGCCCGCACATTAACTTCTTGTAATGATTGCCAGCATAATTCATTTTACGGGAGCTTTATTGAAATCAACCGAATTTTAAAGTAAAATCACAAGTCGCTCCAGGTCAGATCTTTGAAAGCCCCTTATAATTATAATTATGAAATAACTAGCTCCAACATTATATTCAATTTACTTTCTTTTGTGTGTATTTTTTTTTCTGGAATATAGTTTCATCATCTTTGACACAATATTGTTATTTGAAAATTAAAAAAATATTTTTTAGTGAAAAAAATAATTTCAAATATTTTATATTATTTTAAAGTTATTCATAATAATATAGGGCAGTGAATATGTACCTTATGCATAGAAAATCTTTTTTGAAAGACAAAATTGAAAGTTTTAAGTTTTTAACTACAACTTTCTACTCATGTAACTTTAGTTATTTTTTAAGCTCAACTGTTATAATGTTCATATTTGATTAATAAGCTTAACTCTTATTTTTTTAAATAAGAATTATCAAAACGTCAAATCAACATCAAAATTTATTCACTTTACATAGAATATAATATTAAAATGAATATATATATATGCAAAATAGATTAAAATTTTCATCTTCACTTGTCAAAATATCTGAATGTCAAATTATTTTTTCCAAATTACACGAATTACTATGATCACAAAAGAATTTCAAAAAACTGAGTTTCTTTAAATCTGTTCATAAATTTCCAAATTATAAAACCAAAGGTTAACCACAACCCATTATAAAGAAAAATACCAATTTTTTTCCTAAATATCAATTTCTCTGTCATAAATGGTTTATAATTAAAAATATTTTAAAGCAAAAATAGATTTGAGGAAAATAAACCTTTTTAATTCAATAACTAAATGAAATCCAAATATATTTTATTGCATAAAAAATTATCATATATATAAGGTTGATCATACAATGCATATGCATAAGAAATATTTGTTGAGTACTATATATTATAACAGGTAAACCAAGAGACCAAAAGACACAAGCACGCGCAAATGAGAGACACAACATAAAAGGTGGTTCACCCTTCAGAGGGTTATGTCAACAACTGAAACATGCTAGAGAGTTTACTAACAATTGAAAGTAACCCATATATAGAGCAGATTTGTTGGGACATATATCCCCAGCACTAGCGATCAATCTAGCTATAAATAACTAAAACCTAACGGTACTCTTTAATCAGATTTAATCTCAACATATCAAATAATATTTAATATAAATATTTTTCATATAAAAATATTTTACTTAATAAAATTTGAAACCAATGCAGAAATTTTTTTAAAATCAAATCATCACAATATTGATCTATCTATGATCTTCTTATTTTAGAATATTATTTCTTGTTTTTTTTTTAATATACAAAATCAATGTAAAAATTTCATTTTTCAATGTATGTGTTTACAAAATGTGATAACTCACATTATGTAAATACATGTACTACAACATTTTCGTATCAATTCAAAAAGTAAAATTTGAAGAAAGATTACATTTATTTGAATGATCAATATGAAAATGTAAACATATAACGATGATTAAATATAATTAAAATTTTCACTTAGATGAATATTTCTATAAGGTTTATGCTAAAGATTTATATCTAAAAATTTCTAATTAGAGTTGGGCATGATACTTAAGATAAATTTAATTTAGATTATTGCTTAAATAATCTGTATTGCTTGTAAATGTGTAAAAAAAGATGAAAATCATATCATACTAAAATTCTATTTCTTCAACGCTTTTGGGTTGGAAAAAATTAATTAATTGTTGTTTAGTAAGAATAAAGTGATAATTCATAATGACTAGACTAAAAGTATTTAAGTTTTGTTGCAAGATTGTATTGATTACTAAAAAATTCCAATGAAAATAATTAATAAATATAAAACTTTCAATTTTAATTTTACACCTATTTATAAGAAATAACTTTTAAACACTTGAATTTTATATAAGCTTGAAATTTTCCTCTTGTATTATTAAAACACGTTCAACATCAATATTCATTTGAAAATTTCTAAAATCAATAAATCAAAATAGAATTCATAAATAAAAATTATAAATTCATCATACATTAATGATCAATCAGTCTCATTATGTTCATTAATTTTGATTCAAAATTTCATTTTTATTGTATATATATATGTAATTGTATCGTTTGTTGTTTGATAACTTGATAGTTTTATTATATTTTTGGGATGTAAAATTTTTATTATAAGCTTTAATTTATAATAAAAAATTAAATAATATAACAAAATAATCATTTTTTTTAAATTTCATTTGACATTTTTATCATAATATTAAAAATCTACAAAATAAAAGAAATATTTTTTATTAAACAAATTGTAACTGGAAATCAATTTTATTAGACAATCAACTGGAATTATTTGTTTAATGTTTAATGCAGAAGACAATATGTGTTATGCACAAACACACATGTCCACAAATACGAGTTGTATGTAGATTGTATGAGCTCAAACTTTGCTAAGAAAAAATCTAAAAAATGTTAAAAAGAGCTTTCATGAAATTTCCAATATAATGGCAAATATGTAAGTTCTACCTGAATCCAAGATGAGTTAAACTGATTTATCAAAAGATTTGAGTTAACTTTTAACAATCTACTGTATAGTTTATGTTGTGAAAACTTTAACTATCATAACCTATATGATCATTGTGCAAGAACATCCAGAAAAAAGTGTAATAGAAAACTCTTTTTAAATTATAGCTAACTAGAACTACATTGTAATCAAAACATGATAGAGTAAGAATATATGCAAAGGTAAAGGAAAAATACTATTAAAATCTACTTATGCTTCTACTACAATGTCTCATTAAATTCTTCAAATAAATAACTCTAGTTAATGCATTATCAGATTGAATTTATTATCAATCTTTACTAGCTCAACTTTCTTATAACCTTTGCATCCATGATAAGTTGATATATGATGTCAATGTACTGCACTCCGTTATTCATCATTTGATTTGCAGCAAGATGTAAATCACTCTTATTATCATAGTGAAGATTAACATCAGGTTTGATTTCTATCTCAAGATAAATTGATCAACCAAATAGCTCACTTTGATGCTTCTAGTGCTGTTACATATATAGCGTTCATCATGAATTAAGCTACTCATTTCTCCAACTAATGTATACACCATCAAATGTAAATACATATCCAAGTATATATACATTCTAGTCTTGATTTATTTCATAATCAACATCAATATAGCCTAGAAAGTATTTGACATTGTCTAATAAAATATTAAAAAATATATCATAATACTTAATAATTTGATGATACTAAAAAATAAACTTCACAATTTTCAAATGCAATGATACATGCTAGCTTATCTTGACCATAGCTTAACCAATATCATCTCTTGTGTAAATT